GTGCACGAGAATTAGTGGCTCCTATGCTGTGTCTACCAGAACATGGTGGAATGGTGATCAGTATGCGAGATTGGTTGGGTGGTGAAGAGCGTATGGGGTGCCCTTTGAAACTAGACATTGGATCAGATGGAGATTCTATAGAGGAAAAGTCTGAAGAGAAAGAGAAGTCAACTGGTAACGGCTTTGGAAGTCTTATAGGAGGCGGAACAGTAGCTCCTGCCGAACAAAAAGGGAGAACAGAATTAAGTGAAGTTCTTCTGGATCGGGAAGCACTCAAAACCAATGAAGTTGTTGTGGTCGCTATCGGCGAAGAAGCACGCAAGAAAGCTAGTAGCGAACCGGGGACAGTCCGTTGCGGTGCTTTTGGTTTCCCAATACCCGATGCAACCTTGGCGGTAGTAGATCCTGAAACTGGTCTTTTAGCCTCACCACATTCAGTGGGAGAAATTTGGGTAGACTCTCCATCGTTATCAGGAGGCTTCTGGGCCTTACCAAAACACACAGAACAAATCTTCCATGCTCGACCATACAAATTTGAGCAAGGAGATCCAACTCCGATGATGGTAGAGCCGGAATTTCTTCGAACAGGCCTCCTTGGAACAGTTATTGAGGGTAAGATCTTCGTTCTTGGTCTGTATGAGGATCGTCTTCGTCAGAAGGTTGAATGGGTCGAGCATGGTCATGAAGTTGCAGAACATCGATACTTCTTTGTGCAACATATAATTGTGAGCATCATGAAGAATGTACCTAAAATTTACGATTGTTCGGCATTCGATGTTTTCGTCAATGATGAACATCTTCCAATAGTTCTGTTAGAGTCGCCATCAGCGTCAACAGCGCCTGCTACTTCTGGCGGACCTCCACGTCAACTCGATACTGCGCTTCTAGACTCATTGTCAGAGAGATGCATGGAAGTCTTGATGCAAGAGCACCATTTAAGAGTCTATTGCGTTATGATTACAGCACCAAATACTCTCCCGAAAGTCTTGAAGTGTGGGCGAAGAGAGATTGGTAACATGCTTTGCCGTCGAGAGTTTGATCTTGGTAATCTTCCTTGCGTGCATGTTAAATTCGGAGTCGAACGCGCTGTACTTAATCTACCTATTGGCGTGGATCCGATCGGTGGAATATGGTCACCACTGGCTGCGCAAGCTCGTGAAGATATATTATCTCCTGGCGACAAACAATACTCCGGAATTGATCGTCGCGAAGTGGTAATTGATGATCGGACGTCTACACCACTCAACAACTTTTTAAGCATAGTCGACTTGTTGCAATGGCGTGTGGCGCGACAAGCTGACGAATTATCCTATTGCACTATAGACGGCCGAGGTAAAGAAGGAAAAGGAATTACCTGGAAGAAATTCGACACGAAAGTAGCTGCTGTAGCTATGTATCTCAAGAATAAGGTCAAAATAAGACACGGTGATCATCTAATACTCATGTATACTCATTCGGAAGATTTTGTGTATGCAACACATGCATGTTTTTGCTTAGGAGCAACAGCCATACCTATGGCTCCTCTTGATCAGAATCGACTGAACGAAGATGCACCGGCATTTTTACACATGGTCTCAGATTATCGCGTGAAGGCAGTTTTGGTCAATCAAGATGTTGACCATCTAATGAAACAAAAGGCAGTTTCGCAACATCTTAAACAATCAGCACAAGTTCTGAAGGTATCGGTACCGAGCATATATAATACTTCAAAACCACCTAAGCAAAACAGTGGTTGCAGAGATCTTGGCCTTACGATGTTACCAGGTTGGGTTCAGCCAGGATTTCCAGCTCTTGTTTGGACATATTGGACTCCTGATCAACGTAGGATCGCTGTGCAATTAGGTCATGATACCATCATGGGTATGTGCAAAGTACAAAAAGAAACTTGTCAAATGACAAGCTCGAGACCTGTTTTAGGTTGTGTGAGAAGTACAACTGGTTTAGGTTTTATCCACAGTGTTCTGATGGGAATTTTTGTTGGGGCACCAACTTACCTGGTCTCCCCTGTCGAATTCGCACAAAATCCAGTATCGTTGTTCTTAACTCTTTCGCGGTACAAGATCAAAGATACTTATGCCACACCACAAATGCTTGATCATGCGATGGCCGTTATGCCAGGCAAGGGATTTACCCTTCACGAATTAAAAAACATGATGATTTCTGCCGAGGGAAGACCTAGAGTTGACGTTTTCCAGAAAGTACGCCTCCATTTTGATGCGACTGGTTTAGATCGCACCGCTATCAATACGGTTTATTCGCACGTTCTGAATCCAATGATAGCATCTCGTTCATATATGTGTATTGAGCCAATTGAACTCTGGCTAGACACTCAAGCCTTGCGCAGAGGTATGATCTATCCTGTCGACCCAGAATCTAATCCAAAGGCTCTTTTGGTTCAAGATTCCGGTATGGTGCCTGTATCGACTCAAATCGCCATTGTCAACCCAGAGAGCCGTTGTCTTTGCCACGAAGGTGAGTACGGTGAAATTTGGGTAGAGTCAGAAGCGTGCGTCAGAGCTTTCTATGGGTCTAAAGATGCTTTTGACTCGGAAAGATTTGATGGACGTACTGTGGATGGTGATCCTAATGTACAATATGTTCGGACAGGAGATTTAGGCTTTCTACACAATGTTAGTCGACCTATCGGGCCAAATGGTGCGCAAGTCGAGATGCAAGTACTATTCGTTCTGGGCAGTGTTGGAGAAACATTCGAAATCAACGGCCTAAGTCATTTCCCTATGGACATTGAGAGTTCTGTGGAGAAATGTCATCGTAACATTGTTCCTGGAGGATCGTAAGTTCTTCCCCCAATTGATCTGCCAAAGCCTTAGAGACTAATGAAACTTAGTGCCGTATTTCAAGCAGGTGGGCTCATTGTTGTGCTTGTAGAAGTAGGAAGAAAATCCTACCTTGCCTCCATCGTACCCGTCATCGTAAACGCCATTCTTAACGAACATCAAATCGTCGTCGATATAGTTGCTTTTGTCAACAAAGGCGATTTTCCTAGATCTAGACTGGGAGAAAAGCAAAGGGGTAAGATTTTAGCGACTTGGGTCACACGCAAAATGCGTACAATGGCACAATTCGGTATTCGAGATGCCGAAGGGGGTCTTTCGGACGTTACAGAGACAATGGAGCCACGAAGCGGTATCCCTAGTGTCCGAAATGGCAGCGTAATCGCCAGCAGTCTCCGTAACGTTGAACCTGCTCCTCAGATTGTTGAAGAACAGGAACGCGAGCGTCAACGTACCGTCTCACAACACAGCTTTGCTCCTCTCCCAACTGGCATATCAGAAATGCCAGCGGATAATTATGATGAACCTCCAATGAGACCATCTCATGAAATTAACTACGGCATGAGAAATAATGACGATATACCTCTTGCAAACCCACAACCAAATCATTTCGAGATGTCGGGCCATAATTATGATGGTGGGAATATCAACTTTGATAGTCCGTATTCTGATTTTGTAGTTCCAGGATTTGGACCTAGTGCTGGTCAACCTCCAGTGATTGGTCCAAAACCGGGAATGAATATGGGAATGGATGTAGGTGGACCCAGTGGTGGAGGTAATGATCAGTGGAGTTTGCCGAGTCAGCAGCAGCAAGGAGGTGCACAGGGAGCAAGTGGGTTTGGGGGGTTGAGAGTTCATAATATGGATGACGATGATGACTGGAAGGATACTCTAATGCACTATAATCGGGCCAATCAATAGAGTGATTGAGAAAACTTGGGGAGAGGGGGGAGCGCAGCTGAGCCGTATGTGGATCTATATCGGGGAAGGGGTAGGTAGAGGGGAAGCGCGATTCTTAGAGAGAGAGAGAGAGAGGGTAAATACAAGGGACTTGACTACCCTTATGGATGTTTTTTGAGCGATAATATCCTAGACCGGGACTATATATTGCATGAATTGATAGCATTTGGAAGAGCGAGATCATTGATGGAGCAAAGCACTTGGTTCAAAATATAAATAAAAGTACTATTGTCAATGCGCCTGCACTTGTAAATGTTTGTAAATGAAATGGGATGAGATGGGATGGTTACTGATACATATTTGCTCAGGCGAGGTTATGTGTAGACGGACTAGACTCGTCACAGCATAGTTGACACAAGAGTTGTGAATATAACCCCTACCTACAAATGCATAGTGAAACCGCCAGAGAAAGCCTCAAGCTTGCAGGCAATAATCATGATTCTACTTGTAGTCTAGTCGGTGATGCCACCTTGCATGCCTAATATTTATGCATCAAATAGTTGCAGTAGTGTATTGACGGCGATCCCGAGGCCCGACTCTCGGTCTCGGGTTTTCCGAATTGAGATATGGATTGTAGATTTCAATCCTACAAATATGAATAAGATGAATACAACAAGAGTAGGAAATCTCATTCTCATCTTAAAGACATGTGTAATGCAATGCGATGAACCAAATCTCGTACGGGCTCGGAATTAGTGATCAGGATATCTAACTAATGCACACCCTAAATATCACGTGGAAACTACCGTTGCGCGTCCGTTTATGGAAAGCCTCAACAAGCCTCGTCTCTCGAACAAAGGAACTGTGGCAACCCCCCTCGCCATACTCGTGCTCAAAAGATAATAAGTACAAAGAACTTGGAATGCAGCGACGTATCTCGTGCGGGTCCCACCGGTCGAGAGAAGACAAAGAGGATAGGAGAAGCAAGGGAAGAGGGAGGGAAAGAAAAAAAGTTAAAAAGTCGACGAGAAGTTCTGCTTCTTTTCTTGATCACAACATCCATACGAATTCTGTTGTTATATTGCTAGACGAAGATACGGGTGCAGCTGTATCGCTATTGGTACATCTACTACGACTGTTGATTTTCCCTCGAATTTTAATTTTCGAGGGAAGTCTTAATACATATATTTCTTGAGGCGAGATTTGCGAACATTGAGATATTTGTTGCATTCGGAGATTGATTGACTGATTTGAAAGAAATCGTGATCGAGGGAAACAAAGCAGAGTAGGAGAAAATAAGCAAGCATGGAACACGAAGGGCACGCCGGGAAGTCTATGCAGGTTATTGTCTTGGTAAGTAGTTTTCCGAGGATTATCTTTCTTTTGACTGTTCGTGTAATGTTTGTATCCGTTCTTTCTGAGTATGCAAAGCGGGAGACTGCATGAAGGGGTAAGGGATCATGGGTTTGTCGTGATATGCAGTTAAGGCTTATTTTGAATCACCTTTTGCGTGATGGATGGATGGTGCCGGTTGAATGGCTTTGTTCAGATGCGGGTGCATACATATATACCCAAGTCTGGGCATTTGCCGATTTGGGGGTACTTTGGTAAGAAGTCACGTGCTAAACATCTGCTATTTTCAAGATTTCTCCGTGGGGAGATGCTCACCCTTTGTTGTATTCGAGAAGTCTACTGCTATTATCAAGGCCTGTGCTTGAAACCGTTCTGCGTTTTTACGATATGAAGCATACCATTTGGTAGGGGAAATGCTAATGATCAGCATCAATAGGGAGCCAGTGGAGGCCCTTTGGAGGATGATTGTACCGCATTACTAGTACGATCAGTATCATTAGGATGGAGTAAAGGGTCTGTTCTGGCTGTAGATGCCGGAGTTCACCTCTCGGCCATCGACCGAGTTCTCCAAGAGCACAACCCCTCAACAACTGAACGACCATATTTGCTAAAAGACGGGGCATTTGCAGGCTTAGAGCTTCCATTCAGAAACACCGGGGCAAATGCTGCTCACATAGCGCGTAATCTGGTCGGGGCTCATCTCATCACTCATCCGCATCTTGATCATATTTCGGGCGGTGTAATAAGTACCGCCAGTCCCAGTTCTAAACCGAGAAAAATTGCGGGATTGGCAAGTACGATTGAGGCGTTGAAAGACCATATCTTTAATGATGTTATTTGGCCGAATTTGTCAGATGAGAATGGTGGTGTGGGATTAGTAACTTTCATGAGGTTAATCTCGGGGGGTTCGTCGGTTTTGGGAGATGGGCCTACGAAAGGTTATATGGAGGTTGTTGATGGACTGGCCGTTAAGTCTTGGGCTGTCAGTCATGGTCCTTGCATTGGAAACTTTCCTTGTATGTATTTCTCATTTTACTTTTTGAGAATATTCGATTGCAGATTGGATGTTAGTTTTGTTAAACTACGTAACTGCCTCCATCAATTTTTTTTTTCGCCTTCCACTTCCACAATGTACTAAAAAGCGCTTCATTTCCAGATCAACCAGGAAGCAACCACACCAACGAAAGCAGCAGCCCTCGTACTCCAACCCAAAAATCCAGCAGCCACTCCCACCGCAGCCACTACTCGCCGATCACCATACCCCAAGCTTCATCAGAAGGTCTGAATTTTTCCTCCGCCGAGTCTGCCCGCGCGTACACCAGTTCTGCCTGCTTCATCCACGATATTGCATCTGGTAACGAAATCCTCATTTGGGGGGACGTAGAACCCGATACACTTTCTTTCTTCCCACGCAATAAACAAGTATGGCAAGATGCCGCTCCCAAAATCGCAGCTGGGATACTCAAGGGGATTTTTATCGAATGTTCGTATGACGATAGTAGACCGGATGATTTATTATTTGGACATCTAACACCGCGGTACGTCGTTGAAGAATTAAAAGTTCTCGCTGCCGAGACGGAAAAATGTCGCGAGGATCTGAGGAGACGTGCTTTGAGTAGTTCCTCTCCGACGGGTAGTTTGGATACGCTGAGGAAATCGATCACGACGAGGGAGAAAGATAAGAAAACTCACCCGTCTCTAGCTACTTCGGCTAATTATATTTCTTCACACCGGAGAGCCTTCGGGCTAGATGTCTTGAAGGGTATCAAGATTATACTTATTCACGTGAAGGATAATTTGGACGATAAAGAGGATCCGAGAGTGAATATATTGAAGGAGTTGCGGGAATATGAGGAAGAACTTAACTTTGGGTGTGAGTTTGTGGTTAGCGAGAAGGGGATGAGTGTTTTCCTGTAGTGTGCGTGGTTGTGGACGGTCATTTTGGGGAGTGAATGGGGCTGGGCGTTTGAGGGCTGGACGATTGCTTGCTTGCTTGCTTGCTTACTTGCACCGAGTATGTTATTTTTTCCTGGTGGGAAGGTAGTGCCCTTGTGTATCTTGGTTGGAGGCTTCTTTATGGGAGAACATTTTTTTTAAAGGACGGTTGGTCGCTTAAATTTCTTGCAAGTCTCAAGACAAAGGTATATAGGTGTAAAGGTTTTGCAACAGAGTATGCGTTTGCAACTTGTACAGCGTGGTTTCTGTATACAATCGGTTTAATATATAAGTACATAATCTCTTTCTTGATATTCTACTCTTCTCTCATGAATCACCAACAGTTTATAGCCCCCATCCTCTCAACATCGGTGTATAAGCAAATCATTGGTCTTCGAGCTTAGGCTTCACCAATTTCTTCGCTTCCTCATCCTTTCCAACAGCAGTATCGTAATCTGGTCTCGGAATTTCTGTTCCGTCTACAGTCCTCCCATAAGTAATCCCTCCCAATCTCGAGATTGGTTTCAGGACTGCGGGATCAACAATATTCTTCTCTTCGTTAATAGCATTTTCCCTGACCCAAAATCTGGTCCCCTCAATAATTGCCAAAACTCCCGTTTTCTTGCCTGGCGTCGCTTTACTCTCGAATTCCTTCAAACTCTCTAGTTTTCCCTCGACACTGAAATGTGATTCTAGTACTCTACTCGTCTTGACAGTTGTACAAGGAGCGGGTGTAAGTCCACTAAACGCCCATTCCGATTCGCCATACGGTGCATTAATCGAAGTCGAGTTTGCCGCTTCGATGAAGTGTTCAGAGATGATATTGATGGTGCACTCACCCGTCTCCTTGAGATTCTTCAACGAATCTTTCGCATTATCTAATCCTCCTGAATATCCCAGTGTGAAAAGTGGGGGATCGTGATTAATCATGTTGAAGTAACTGAACGGGGCTAGATTTGTCGATTTCCCGTCCGCGCTGCGAGTACTGACGAATCCGATGGGCCGTGGAATGATGGATGAAATCATCAACTTGTAGTTGTAGACTGCGGGGCGACCTTCTTCGTAGGGATCGATTTCGATATGCGGGATCTTGAGAGATTCGCCGTTGTCGTTGGCGCCGGAACCGAGTTTCCAGGAGGGAGAAATGGTTTGTGTGACGTTCCAGGATCGGGACGCGTCCCATGGCGAACGAGATGCTTCGACGGCTTTGAAGTCACGATGCGGATTGCGGTTTATGAGCTTTTCGGCGTCGGCACGTTGCTGGGTTGTCGAGGACATGGTTGCTGAAGGATAGAGATTGGAGATGAAGATGGGTTTTGTGGTTGAGAAGAAGTGGTTGAGGTTTGATTGCAGCGAGGGACTTGTTGATGTGAGTTACAGTTAGTAGATGAACTAAATGAACTAAATAGCGGGGAGATACTACAGCTGTCGAAGGTGGATGAATATCTGTGTACGTACCGTATCGAAGTTTTAAATACTTGCCTGGCTCTCAATTTCCTGATTGACATTGACGATGGGCATTGAATTCAACACGAGGGAAACACAAAATATATATCTGCAGTGCAAACTTGGAGAATACCCGATATGGGTTTTGTAAAACCGATGCAGATAATTGATGTGACTGTTGTTCCGCCACCATATTTCGTCACAGCGGCTTTCATTCCGCTTGAAGAAGTTGTGGAGATTTGGCTGATAAGGTTGATGACACCGCAATGATACGAAAAGGGACAAACGGAGGGAGAAGCTCGGTACCAGCAAGGCTAGAATCGGTCGAATATGTACGTGACTATTGATAGATGGGGTAATCTAGTTACATAAAGACCATTATTCTTGAAGCTATTCAGAGAACGACAGCAAGCTTAAACTCCGAACATTTGAAATCAAAGTCACTTGGTCAGCACTACTCCCCATTCCTGACAAATACAAATTGGCCTTGAAATCGTCGATATATCTACTTATCTACTCGTCGGCTATCACAAGTATATCTGAGAGCTACTTAAAAGCTGATAAATCATAAAAGGCAAAGAAAAACATCCAAATTTAAGCAAACACAGTAGACAACACAAGAAATAAAATGGATTCTCTACCTTCTCAACTCTCTTCCCTCAAATTAGCACCCGGAGTCCAAAGATACTCTCTTGGAAACTGGAAGCTTCAATCTGGCCAAGAAATTCCTGATGCTCATATTGCTTTCAAGACATTTGGAGACCCAAGTTCCCCTGCTATTATCTATCCTTCTTGGTTTTCTGGAGGTGAGTGATGAAACCTGTGCCATCTACCTATGTAGCTACATGATGGTATTGTTGGAGTTTAAAGTCACGTCAAAAGCCAGATACACAAAGTATGTTAACGCTGAAAGTAAATAGCAATCGCGGACAACGAGTGGCTCATCGGAGAAGACCAAGTATTGAATCCCCAAAAATACTTCATAATCATCACCGCACTATTCGGAAATGGAGAATCAACCGTAAGTCTCCCTGCTTCATTCCCCATCCCCCCACTCCTCCTGATCCTCAATACTTACACAAAAAAAAGTCTCCATCCAATTCCTCCATCTCCCCTTTTCCAAAAGTAACCTTCTATGACAACGTCCGCGCTCAACATACCCTCGTGACTTCCCATCTCCAAATCACCCATGCACGCGCTGTGATCGGTTGGTCCATGGGCGCAGGTCAAACTTATCAATGGGCCACCATGTATCCCTCATTCATGGACATCTGTATTCCGTTTTGCGGATCTGCAAAAACAGCTCTTCACAATCAGGTCTTTTTAGAAGGTGTTAAATCTGCATTGTTGGCTGCCAAAAGTCTCTCGAGTGCAGGATCCCAGGAAGGTGTTGCTGTTAAAGGAGAGGAAGGAGATGAAGTGAGAGTTTGGAGTCAAGAGGAAAGGGAGGTGGGATTGAAGGCTTTTGGGAGGGGGTATGCCGGATGGGGATTTAGTCAGGTGAGTTGATACTGGTAACATTGGGGTGGATGTACATGGGAGATAAGACTATGAGAGTAGACTAATACTATTTTTTAGGCTTTTTACAGAAAGGAACTCTTCAAGACCGTTCTGGGATTCAAAGATCTAGAAGATTTTATGCAAAATTTCTGGGAGAAATGGGCCCTCTCAAAAGGTACTTTCTATTAATTCTTTTTCTCATCCCTTCTTCTCATAATCCTCGCCCATTCCCACCCAACTCGTCAAACCCCTCCTCCTCTTCCAATCTAACACTCCCCCCAAAAACAGATCCAGAAAACCTCCTAACAATGCTCCACACCTGGGCCTCGGGCGACGTCTCCAACCAATCTCCCTACAATGGCGATTTCGCCGCTGCAATGGGAGCTATCAAAGCCCAGATGCTTGTTCTACCCGGAAAAACTGATCTGTATTTCCCGTGTGTATATTCTCTTTCTTTTCTTTTCCCTCTTCCTCCATCTACTCCCTTCTCCTTCTCCAACAAACCACACTGACACCCCCTAGACCCGAAGACTCCGAAATAGAAGTCTCCCTCATGCGTCCCGGCATCGGCAAACTCGATGTTTTCCCTAGCATATGGGGACATTGGGCTGGAGGGCCAGGTGATTCAAAGGAAGATGTGAAGTGGCTCAATGAGAGGTTAGTTGAGATTGGTTTGTGAATTTTGTGTTCCTTTGGGAGGGTATAGGGAAAGGGTGGGATTGTTTATTTATGAGGGACTCGGCAGGGGAGGTCGATTGTCCAGCGCAGCAAGCGGTGTGAAATTTAGCATGGCAATGGATTTTCGCATGATGTTTAATGTTGAATGGATGTGATTGGCGAGGATAAGATTTTATCATTATGACAAGTTTCTATGCTGAATGATCAGTATATGTACCTATGTATGAGTATATGTGTGTTTAAAATTCCGCGACTATGTACTGTATGCCATATCTCCTAGATTGTAGAACCGAGTACCGAACACCGGACGCCCTCAACTCATTCATCCTGGAAATGCTATTCCAAATTTATCCATCCATCCATCCATCCATTCCATCCCCTCTCGCATCCTAAACTTCCACACTTCACTCATTTGCTAAACCTCTCCATTTCTATCCCCTACCACTGGTATAACAGCCGGCTCCTCACTGTCCACACTAACCCTAGCCCCCTCTCCCGCGATCTTACTACCCATACCCAACCCACTCTTCGCACTGCCACCGCCAACACCACCCCTTTGACTGCCACTTGCACTTCCCATACTACTCCCCCTCTTCCTCCCTGTCCCCTTGAAATTTCCCGTCAACTCTTCCCTCACTTCCCTCAAAACTTCCTCTCCGGGTATTCCCAATCTGCCCAACCTTCCCACCAACAATGTATTTTCCCTCTGTACACTACCCACCTGAACTCTCAAAACCTCCCTTTCCCTCTTCAATACTTCAATCTCCGCTCTTAAACTAGCATTAATCTGCTGTAACTCCTCTCCCTTTTCCTTTTCTTCCCTCTTCTTCTTTTTCTCCTCTTGCTTCTGTTCCTCCCTCAATCTTCTCCTCTCCAATTTCTCCATTTCCTTTTTATGTTTCTCTTCTATCTTCTTGACCTCTCTCTCGTGTTTCTCCTCCGCTTTGCGAATTGCTTCTTTCTCTTTCTCACCATCTTCACTTTTCTTATCCGCTTCTTTTTGTTTTGCTTTCTCCAATTTTTCGTAAAGTTTTCGTTTCTTATCCTCGAGCTTCTGGAGCTCTTTATCTTGTTGTAAATTTACCTTTTCGACCGCAGCTGAATCTTGTGATGATACTTTTCGGAAGGACAGAGCTGATTCAAAACTATCTACTGTAGATTCGCTAGAAATAGATGAGGTGGATAATGATCGAGAGCGAGTAATGGGAGCGGAAGTTTGAGCAGAAGATTGTTCGCTAGTAAGTTGTAGAGGTCCGGGGTTTTGAGCCGAAGGAGATTCGGTGGCATGAGGTAGACGGTCTGCAATGATTGCTGGTGCATATGGAGCGAATAAAGCTCCGGCTGTAGTTGCTACTCCTGCTACCATGTCGTATATTCCACCACCATTTGCGGGTAGTTGTTGCTGTGCTGGCTCTGCAGGTCTTGTTGGGCCAGCAACCACAGATGTAGACTTTTCTCCTTGACTATCTATACCTGCAAGATGACCGTTGGTTTGGTAATTGTGTAAATCTTTTTCGTGATTATGGTGATGGCGATGGCGATGTTCACGTTTTGCCGGCTCCGCTGTGTCATTTCCCCCAGCAAGTTGTTCAGTAGGTTCATCATCATCGCTATCCAAATCTTCGATTGTTTTCGAACATGCCCAGTCCAAAAATTTACCTGCATCCGAAACAATAGCCGATGGTGTTCCACGATCAATCATAAATCGTGGTATACCCCCACCAGGATCACTTCGGGTAACCATAATCCACTCAATAGGATTTTGTTCCCATTCATCATCCTCACTTGGTACAGGCGTCTTCTCCTCTTTCGCAGCTTGAGCCAGATTACTATCGGAACGTGAAGCTTGCTTATGAATTTCCTCTCTCTCTTCCTCTGTACTGGATGAATCATGCTTTTGATGAGCATTCCTCAAAACAGCCTCTTTGCTCAAATTCGAAGCGGATCTATCTCTTGTATGTCCCTTTGTAAGATCAGATGAAGATGCTGATTTCTTGGGAGGCGGTTTCTTGATTGGTATTTCTCGAATGAATTCAACAGATTCATAATATCCTCTTATATATCCATCACGCGATGGAGTGTCTGGATGTTGACATGGTCTCGATATTACCATGAAATGGCGGGGTACCTCGTTGTTATTTTGTTCCTTGAGCGCTTGATCTGAGGACATAAACATGGTGACAAAATCTCTCGGGGTTGTTGGCCCTGGAAATTGTGCTGATAAAAGATATACTGGTATTCATTAGACCGTTGTCCCTCTTCCCAATTTATTGTAAACGTACCTTCCATTTTCCCAATTCCAGAAACATTGTTATACGCTACTCTCTTCTCTCCACCAATACCTCTAATATTACCTTCACCTGGACCCCCCTGAACCTTTAGGGTTTCTGGAAATTCCCTCTCCAAGCCTCTCTTCCATTTTGTAAATCCCAGTCCCTCATGTACACTCCTCCTCGCAAACCAAGTGCCCTTTCCATCCTTTCCCTTACAAGAATATACACTTATACCCAGTGGATTATCAGCCGGTTTTAATTTTATTTGTTTCCACTCCTTCTGAAGAGATTCGATATCGTGAGGTGGAGGCGGAGATCTAGCAGCAGATGCGGAGACTTCGGATGCTGAGGATGCAATTGAGGATGTTGTGTTTGATCGCGGACGACTGTTGGAAGATTCAACACTGTCGGGTATGGGGACTGAATCGATTATCAATTGAGCGCTGTTGAATGCATCTGATAGGAATGGTTTTAAATTATCGGTAGGGGTATCATCGTACTTCACAGCGCCCAGTGATTTGAGAGCTTCATGAAGAGCTGACATTTCTTTTGCTGTTCGGATTCTTTGTTTCTTCAATCAAGAATGAAATGTGTAATCTCTGCTTTCGACACAAGGCTATGGATGTAGGGAGATGTAGACAAGGAAGCTTGAGAGTCGTGGAGGGTTGGAATGTATTATGTATGCGGTTAAGTTCAACAAGTAGTAAGTCAGTAATAAGCAAGATGCAGCAGGCACATGGGATTTGAGATTTAAATAGATCAAGTGAATGGCATTCAACAAAGGATGCAAGAGTGTTAGGGATAGGGAGGTAGGTAGGTATATGTAGGTCTTTCATAAAACTCCGGCAGTATCTGGAATCCGGATGTGTTTACTATTGCCTCCCTTCCAAGTTTGCATTCAATCAATTACCCAATGTGTATTGAAACAACACACCGGCGTCAATACGCCATTGAACAAGTAGAATATCGATAAAACTACTTACCTAAGTAGTACTCTATAGAATCTTTATCCATCTATATCGTAATTTGTTGCGGTGCTGCGGGGTTAAATACAAATCATTTACAATATGATTGGTCTAGCTCTTCATTATTTGAGTAGAAACTAGATTTCTTTCCTTGTAGAGCGCTTTGACGTCATTTCCCCAGCACAGACAATGAAGTAGACAGAAATGCATGAATGCGTGGATGCGTGAATACGTGAATACGTCAGTACGCGGAAATGCAAGTTGTCTACGAGTTTGCATGGGAGTTCCGAAATGAAAATTAACATGGAATTTTACATTAAAAGGGGGAAAACCTCCGGGGAAAAAAAGTGGTCAAATGATTGATTCCGTCCGATGTTTGTGAACGAGAATCTTGCTTCGAGTAGGCATGAAAGTCTTGGAGGATTATTTGTTATGTATTATTCATTTGTGTACAAAGTAAAGGTAGTGAGTGAGAGTGACTACTTTTACCATACCATAAAGTCCATCCTTGGCTATGCAAAAAATTGGACTCTATCCATCCACCAAAACCCAATGTTCTTGTACCCAACGCCTTGCTCAATACATATGCTGCCGATAAGGCTAACTAGGCGGATAATGATGCCAAAGATATCACAGTGTAGGTACATATTTACTGCTCTCAACCGAATGTTACACCCTCCTCTCCTTGTGTGAGCAAATCCTGTTCGGCTTTACAGCTACCACAATACTCCTGATGCCACTTCCTGAGTTCATTCATATTATCATCCACCTGAAGAACTTGTTGACTTGAACCTCCTTTGACTTTACTACTTGATAGACTATTTGTCTGGTTCTCTCGCAACATCATGTGAGCTTGTTTGCATCTCATGTTCTCATCCAGGAGCCAATTCTCCCATTCTGCTTTGAGCACATTTCTCTCAATATTGTTAACCACTCTCATGGCGATCATCAGATCGTATCTGTACGAGCCTAGATGCTGACGGGTTCTTCGAAGTCTCTTAGCTGTTGATTTGGTTGATGTTTTGGTGAATGGTGACCCTGCCATCTCATAAGGAGCGTTCAGATCCGTAACATTGGCGATTTCCATAAATTGCGTGTAACTATTAAATCATATTAGCATATTTTCAAAGGTTGGTGGGATGGCGGATGCCTACCATTTGCTTTCATGGTGACTTTGGACTCCCGTCGATAGGTTATTCACAGCTTCGTCAAGATCTTTCAAATAAATTGCTTTGCTCATGCTTGGATTAGGACCGACTCCCATTCGACTCATGAATTTTGCTGCATTCCGTTCTGTCCACCATTCTGATGTATCGCGGCCAGTAAGGAATGCGTTTACCAACATGCTCAATATCAGTGCAGTCAAAATGATAGTGTGGGCACTGGATATCTTCCATATGGATCGGAATACCGCAAACGTCCACATCATTACCGATGATATACAACTCTCACCAAACGAGCTGAGTGTCTCAAGCAACATATTTGTGAGTGTACGTTGCTTAATTTGTGGCCGTTTTGACTTGCTTGCGTCGTTGGCCGAAAAAAGTGAGACTGTTTTTTGGTGTCCTACATGTCCGTAAATGTGAATAGCCTTCTTTGTCCTGCTGTTGGGTCCCAACTTTCGAACTTGATCAGCAATAACATCGGCCAAATCTTCAGCATCCATTGCACAATCATCGAGCGCCTGTCTCTCAACTAGACCTTTTCCAATTTTAGGGGATTTTGACCATTCGACCTTCGTGTAGATTGCCAATTTGCACTTTGATTTGGCGACATGTGTAATGACGATCTTCGAGACCAGCATAAAATCTTGAAAATGAGGTAGATGCCAAGGGGTCTTGGAATCCGTAACAACATAACATACATGGTCGTTCATGATATCAATAATTTGATGATCAACAACGTTTGCTTGTCGTGATCTTCGCCAGGAATCAACGTAGTCAATTTGAAATTCAAAGTCTCGACGCATGTGGTTACCATCAAGATGAATCCATGGACCTTGAGCAATCTTTTGTGCCCTCCGTTCATGGTAAAGTAGTTGAAACACTGCACTTTTGTCGCCAAACATCAAGTGGAAAAGAGCCTTTGGACTGATACCAAATTCTCGCTCGACCGTCTTTCGTTGCATATCGGGTGGCTCATAGATGACAGGCTGAGAAGGAAGTTGGAATTTCTGCACTTCCTTCCCTTTTCTATTGAAATTGAGCCCGCGCTCAACATGCAATGAGGCTCTGAGATCACGATCTCTACGACTGTGAGTACGACCCGAGATCGTCCCATCATCGATTGGTGTATTGACGTCAACATCCTCCCAACTCTCCATGCTAGGACTTCTAGTAGGGTCTTCATGCTCCATTTTGATTAATGCCGTCATGATATCTTCTAAGCTCATCGGATTCTCGGCTTGATTTATATCAACCAAAAAATTCAGTCGCGATTGAAGCAATCGAAGAGGCTCAAGGAATGTTTTAATGGTGATCCTGTTAAATCCTGTATCAGGTGAAGTATCGAGGAGATGCAGGAATAAGAAGTCACAATCTCTGCCTGGAGCAGCTGTAACTTCACTAATACTAGCCAACTTAACGCCAGTTATCAAAACAAGGCCCAAATGATGACTGTAGAAGTATATATCTTTTTGAGTGACGTAAACTCTTCCAGGAAAATCATGCTGCTCATTTGGATTCCAAGTCGCACGAAAGACAAGTATAACTTTGTCCTCTCGTGGAACATTTGGAAATAGCATTCGAAATTGTGCATCTTGAGTTTTTAGCTGGATTGGGTAATTGCTCGGGTATACTTCTGGTCTGGATGCAGATTGATTCGCTGCACGCGCAACTTCAATATCGATACTAGCACTGGCGGCTTTTCGGTGAACCATGGGTGAGGGAACTGGGGTTGCTAAAGAATCAGTCAATGGACTAATGGGGCTCTTTGCAGACCCAAGTCCATTATCGGGTTTTAAGTTCTCGTCCGTACCTATCTTTGGAGATGGTTCCAACGGCTTTATACGTGGGCTACCAGGTGCCGAGCGAGATCCTGAGCTTGGAGTTTTGATTTCTCCCTTTTCAAGGCGATTGATGTATCCCCAATTGCTACTGCCCCATAGATTGGCCATTATACCACTAGGCATTCCTCCACTAGCGTCACTCTGACCAAGACCAATTCCACGCTCTCCGCTAACTATCACTGCCGATTTGCTTAAGTTTGTAGGAGCAGGCGGGTTTATGAGGGTGGAGGGCGCCAAGGTACTTGCAGCATAATCTTGAGTTGGTGACTGTAAGGTAATTTGTGGATTGGGAAGGTTATTTGTAGATGTTGAAGGTGCAGAGATTGGAAGAATCGTATGACTAGCTGATATCAAACTAGCGATACCACCCGATGCAGGTTGAGATGCACTTGGAGGTTCGTTTGACTGCATGCTAGTCGACTTTCTGTGCAGATCCAGTTTTTGCATGATTCTAGCAGCATGTTCTCGACCAGTTTCGCCCTCTTCTCTTGAAGTAACAGAACGACGAGGAGGGACAATATCGGAGCTGGGCCTTCCAGCAAACTCTACTCCAGGGATAGGTAGTGTGCCGGACCTTTCGACCACATCTTCACTGCCATACGAAATTTGACCATCTGCATTTTTGGCAGCAAATTCGGGAATAGAAGGTGGAGTAATAGCGAATGCGGGATCGATTCCTCCAGCACGAAGCGTTCTAGGATTTGCACTAGCCTCGAGAGCTTTATTTTTAGCAAGTTCAAAAGCCTCAAGCCATTCCATAAGAATAGCTTGGGTCTCTGCTTGAACAAGAATTGTTTGATTTTTGGTTTTGACCTCAAAACAGAATCGGCGATCTTCCTGAACAGCCGGTTTCACATTACAAAGAAGGACGCCAATCTTCTCACTCTCCTCTACTCCCCCAGATTGTATTCCTTGAACCAGCCAACCAAAAATACCGTCTTTAACATAAAACCAGCGACGGACCCACAAAGTTCTTGCGGGCTTACCAGATATTGTTCGTAAGAACAGCCAATCTTGTTTTTCCGATCGTTCAGCATGTTTGCTTTGAGGTTGAATAAGTCCAGTCGAAGGTCCTCTTGAGCCAAGGTAGGCAACCGTTGAAAGATTGTAGTCTTCCAACTCCCTGGATGGTTTTGATGCCTGGGATGCAGTTTCCGCAATATCTCGCCTGGCAAGCTGCAATTCACGGCGGAATGTTGCCTCACCAGCTTCCATTTCTTTGCTCCATCCTCGCACGCGATCCATCTCATGACCCCATTTAGAAAGAGTTAACGAAGAGACTTCTCTTGTTCTCTTCATCTCCTTCCATTGATCAGTTGATACTCTCACAAGTAATTTGTCGATCGTATATCGTAGCTGGGGCGCAAGTAAACAAAAGTCCAAAGATGCTTTCAAATATGCTTTTCTGGTTTCGTGTACTTGAAAAGCGTCCTCTCGCAGCGCCGAAGGCTCTTTAGTTTTTGATTGCGCCACATATCTTGCTAGTGTAGAGTCAAATGTCTTCTGCGATTGCTCTAAATATCTTCGAGCATCTTTGAAATTCCGTAGTTCTGAAGCCATGAATGCTTTGATGGGCTCGCATATATTTGTATCAATTTTCCTAGTACCAGCCATAATCTGCGACCACCATTCCTTCGACCCTTCTCCGAATCTTTGCATTGCCAATAAGGTATAGTCATGATCGAGGACAGCTTCGGAAACGTTCGCAGGAGGGATCGATCGAAAGAGAAAGTTATTGAATGCATCTTCTAATGACGAAGCGTCGTGAACAAGTTTGGTTATAGATTTGACATAGGCATCGAGCCATTTCTCAAGTATCTCCACTTGATCAGAGAAATGTACTGCTGTCGCGCGAAAGGTGGGTGAGTCGAGGGCTGCTTCTTTCAAGCCTACTGGTATTAAGCTCAATGGCTTATTGAGCTGTGGTATAACGGGCGGCGCAACGTCCGACATGTTGATTAAACTCTACGCAGAGTAAAAGATAGAATAAATTCCAACCTCATTATGCTAAGAAGCCGTAAAGGGTTGTATCATATATGTAAATTTGAGAATCGTCTTAAGAGGTGGCACAGAAAGTTGGGGTTCGCGGCTAGATTATTTGAGGGGGAAAGTATAAGGGGCTTTAAACTGGGAGTTTATTGTCAACCAATAAACTCATAATGAGATAGTAAATAACATTAAATTTTGATAAAACAACTGAGGGTTGAATGTTTAAATTACTCAAATGCTATATATAAAATCAGAGCTTTTTATGTAGCCAAAGATACAATAAATTCATTCAATTGTTCCCCCAATCCTCAATTCCAAAAGTTCCAGAAAGAAATTATTTTAATATCAATCAATGTTCTTTTTCCGGCTCTTCATGTCTCTCATCGGACGCATGCATTAGTGTGTGGAGGTGTTTTCCTTTCCTGATGAGCCCAATATTTCGCCCAGGATTACACCAGGATTAGCGATTTACAAGAGACCAGTGGGGAGATAGTATGATAATCATTGTTCAAAATATACACAGATTAACTTCATTTTTGGATCTGATATGGATTTCTACTTTAAATAGATTAAAGACGAGAAACATTGCGAAAATCATTGGACTGAATGCTCCACCTCGGTGAAATCTATTAATATACTCGAGTACACCATAACTCCTACATTGGGCTATGAATATAGACTCCAATTACTCCTCAGCTGTAGCTTTTCCAACAGCTCCCTTATTCTTTCTAGACCTCTTCTTCTTCTTCTTTTCTGGAATCTCTACACCTTCCATAGCATCTGCTCCTTCCCCGGCATCAGGGCCAATAATAATTTCCGGTCCATCCTCGTTACCGAATGTCTCCTTTCTCCACTGCCTTAACCTAGCTTTCTTACCGAGATGCTTCTTGTCCTTGCGTTTCTTTTCTGCATCTCTAAAGGTAGCCATCTTTTTCAAGCCAGCAAATTCATTGAGGGATGAATCAGGTGCCATTAAAATATCTCTAGCCGTCAAACCGAATGAGGTAGGTGAAGTTTCGCGATATCTGAATACTGATGCCTTTTTGGAAGCCAAAGAAAGATCAACATCAAGCTTGCTTTCCACAAGATCCTCAATCTTTCTTCTCTCCAATCGCGCAGCTTTCTTTTTATTTTGCTTTTCCAATTGTCGTTCCTTATTGCTTTTCGACTTCTTGGACGACCCCTCTTCATCGCCCGATTCCTCCTCTGCATCATCTTCAAGATCCGATAAAGAGTAAATGGGTTTTGAGGATTTTTCGTCGTCATCAAAATCGGAAACAATATCTCCAATGTCGATATCGTCGTCCCACTTTGGCTTCTTGACCTTCTTCTTCTTTTTCCCCTCTGTTTCGCCGTCACTCTCGGATCCACCTTCTTGCTCAGCATAGTAGCTCTCCCCAAAGCGTTTGTTCATCTCAGCCTCCCAATTTTCATCATCCCAGGCCGCATCTAAGAATTGTGCCCATTCTTCATCCTTCAAGGTTTTACCATTTATACCTGCAGCTTTCTTGATCTTTTGGAGCCTCTCCTCCATCTCATCAATCTTTAATCGCTTCAATCGTGCTCTCTCTTCTTCCCTCTCCTTCTTCTCGGCCTCCTTCTTCTCTCTTGCAGCATCTCTTTGCTTCTTCCTGCCGCTGACCTCATCACGACGAACTGATTTTGCAGCGACGACATCTCTGGCATATGATTTCAAATTCTCATTACTTCCTTCAGCATTTTCGAAACGCAAGTTGTAAGCTGCCTCGAATTGCTCGGCTCGGTTGTCATCGTCTTCGTCGTCAGATTCCATGGGTTGGAAGCGTGCACCATCACTAGGAACCCATGCGCGAGCTGCCATGAAATTCGATAAAAATGTCTCCGGATCCTTGTCGGCAACGGCGATATCAACTTCAACCTTTGAAGCTCTGGATGGATGGATACCTGAGCTTGAAAGACCTGGATTCTTATCCTTCCTAACGAGGAATCCTTCATCTTCGTCTGAAGCAGATCCATCGGCAGCTGCATGCATCTCGCTAACAATTTTCTTTTTTAAAGCTTCTTGTTCTTGGGCGAATGTTTGTGAGACGTTTTCATCCTCGTCCTCCCCGCCTGCATGACCAGCCAATAAATTCTCTCGATGATAATCCTTCAAGTACATAGGCTTCTCCTTCTTTTCTGTCGCGGTTCCTTCCTCTGCGTCTTCCTCAATTGGGGTATAAAATGTAACCTTTTCATCGTACACTCGAGGGTCCTTCGAACGTAAAGCCTGTAGTGTAGCTGAAATCTCCTTGTCCAAATCTTCGGTTGCTAAAAATCCTTCATCATCTTCATCTTCATCATCGGATGACGAAGAATCCTCATCGTATTTATCGCCGTATTTCTTCTCGCCATTTCTTCCAACTGTTGGTCCAGGTTTCTTCGTATACTTTTCCTCCACTAAGAAAATGATAAGTCAACATGATTAACACCCCGAGGAACCGATTTTACTCACGTCTTTGAAGCTCTTCACGCTTCTTATTATGCTCGAATCTTTTCGCATATTCTTGATTGACTTTGAATCCAGACTCGAGCGGGGCACCTCCAACGGAATCGTCTTCACTGCTAGAATCGCTGTCATCTAACATCATCTTAGACCTTTCGGCCTTTTCGACCTTTGCGACAGGTTCTTGCTTGGCCTTTTTCGTGCCATTATTAGTCACAAGCTGATCTTGCGATTCGGCCTTTCTTTTTCCCATGTTGTAGGACTCAATTGTAGTTGCGAAAACGTTCTTAGCAAATTGATCGATCCAATTCTTCAAGCTTGAAAATCAAAATCAAAAAATAAAATCTTGGTCGGTGAACGTGAGCAAAAAGTTCCGGCGCTAATCGGCTGCAGTCCAGGATCTTGATTCGCTCCATCCACAACCCGCCATTCCTCCATTCATATCCATCTTCCTCTAAAAGCAGAGCTACCCACCGAGCCTATTTATTGACATCTACGAAAGTTATCGACAGTGAAAGGGAATCAAGATAATTTTCAAATCTCTTTCAAATACCATCGCTCCACTAAATTAATCTGAAAACAGTCGGCGATTTTTGGAGGTCCATCTTACACTCGAGAAACACGATCCGGAACCCGGTTTTGTGACATATGGCGGACTCAACTACATCAGCTCCAAAGCCAAGTTCCAGCGTCAAGTTGGTTCTTCTTGGTGAGGCAGCTGTAGGAAAGGCATGTAAAGATTTGGAATAAATTATAGCACATCATGTTGACTCTTGTCTAGTCTTCCCTTGTATTGCGGTTTGTGAACAATGACTTTCAGGAAAACAAGGAACCTACTATTGGAGGTACATATATATTCATTATACTACTCTCACATTTATATGTCCTTTACTAACACTTATTATTGCAGCTGCTTTCTTGACGCAAAAATGTAATTTACCAACCAGAACGATCAAATTCGAGATATGGGATACCGCTGGACAAGAACGTTTCGCCTCTCTTGCTCCCATGTACTATCGAAATGCCCAATCCGCTCTCGTCGTTTATGACCTTACAAAACCTACATCACTGGCTAAAGCAAAGCACTGGGTAGCAGAGCTTCAAAGACAAGCGTCACCGGGCATCGTCATCGCACTTGTAGGCAACAAACTTGATTTGACAAATGAATCCGATGATTCCAGTAATAACTTGGGAGATGAAGAATCAGCTGAAGGCGAAGATTCAGGCGGAGATGCGCGAAAGGTATCAACTGCTGAGGCTAAATCATATGCCGAGGAAGAGGGATTATTGTTCTTCGAGACTTCTGCCAAGCTTGGCACAAATGTAACAGAGGTATTCACGGCAATCGCAAATGCCATCCCAGAGACATCATTGAAGGGAGCTCGAGGACCTGGAGGTACACAAGCAACTTCAGCAAGAGGAGAAGAACAGTCTAGGGTCAATTTGACAGGGCCAAGGGATAATGCTTCGAAGGAGGGTTGTGCTTGTTAATACATCAGTCTCATTTTTCGCGGGATTTTTTCCAATGTTTCCTTTATTCGCAATCGTTTGGGTTCCTGGGGTTTTTGGTGGTTATTTTTGATATTTATTAGCTGTTTTATATGAATACGAACTGAATAGCAGGTAGTAAGGAGGCAAATCGGGACTAAGAGGGTTCAAGAATAGCATTTCAATTTCTGGAAGTCCTTATGGTTGCAGCTTATTGCTCACTTTGTAACAGGAATTTGTCACCGTTAATCAATAATGACGATCCGGCGTCTTTTTAGAATTCTGTTGTCATAATATATGACTTTTGTTATGAGTGAAGGTAAAACGAATGAGTCGACCTATCCCTATCCCGCCATGGCTTTACGCACAGCTGTTTCAAGCCTTTCCACCAAAGCACAGATGTTGCGAGGCAGTCCATTGGATTCTGAGGGGCTGAAATGCTTGGTGCACATCCCCAAGTCTGGATTGCTTCTAATTATGTCTACGGAAACTAGCAATGATAAGCTTTTTCATGTGGAGTTTTCGCAAAGAGTATAGAGTCTGACAAATGTTGTTTCCAATGAGGCTGCGTATGAGCGGCTGTTTACACATTTGTTTCGCCTGATGGTGAAATTCTAGGCTGTCTGATCTTTCTTTGACTTTGCCTGACATGCGGGTGTTTGAGACGATATGGAGGATGGGGAACTGATCGTTGGTTATTTCTACACATATATATATATATAGCATTTTCCCCCTTCACAATGTTCTCTCTAAACCATTCCAATCTACTTTTTTTCTTCTTCATTTTTAACTGTTCTACAGCTGGTCTGATTTATTTTCAACTATACCTTAATTCATTCATTCAATTACTTTGATAGTACTATTCATATATTCAAGATGCGTTCCTCAACAGCAAGTTTGATCTTGGCCTTCTGCGCCATATTGGCAGTTCAGGCAGCTCCAATAGATACAACTACCAATGTCGCTCGTTCAGTTTCTGGTATTGAGGCAAGAGCAGAGTTCGGAATTGTTGCTCGTGATAATGATTACGACGCGGAGGGTAATGAGATCGATGCAAGTGGCAACTTGATCGAACGTGGTGAGTAGCCTTTTTCAAATAATTTACACCAGTGTGAGTACTAACAGACTCATAGACACTGGTTACAACGCAGCCGGTGATGAAATCGATGAGAATGGAAATGTTATCGAAAAGAGAGCCAAGAAGAACAAGGCAGGTGTGTTAATGCATTTGAATTGAACTAGATTTACAATATTGATGATATTATTCTAGCCAAGAAAGCTAATGCACGCGCTGAGACTGGCTACGATGCGGAAGGCAATGAGATTGATGCAAATGGCAACTTGATCGAGCGTGGTTAGTACCATTCATATATCTGCATAGTAGAAAAACTCGCTAATGGTTCCAAAGATTCGGAGTACAACGCTGCAGGCGAAGAGGTTGATGAGAATGGAAATGTCATTGAAAAGAGAGCCAAGACAAACGCACCTGCTGAGACTGGCTACGATGCGGAAGGCAACGAGATTGATGCAAATGGCAACTTGATCGAGCGTGGTAAGTTGCAGCTTTCTTCATCCTCTCCTATGAATGTTCTAACAGTTTTAGGTGCCGACGGATATGATGCTGATGGCAATGAAATTGACGCCAGCGGAAACATCATCGAACGTCAGACAAACACCAAGAAAACCAAGAAGGGTATGTTGTCTTATTCATCATGGGCCAGATCATAATACTAATTGTCATCTAGCAAAGAAAGCTCGTCGTGATACCGAGTACGACGCTGAGTAAGTGAAACCTGCTTCTCAAATATCCTTAATAGCACCTCAATCTCCACCGGTGCGACCGATCTCGTATATCTATCAGCATGGATCGACAATCCTGCCGTTGATTAGACAGAATCTGCATGTTGAAATAATCGGATATGGAGCTTTCATTCGTCGTCTGATTCGGCGTTGCTAGCTCTCAAAGATATTCGACCCTACTTCGGACATTCCATAATACTTGGCTTCCTTCAGTCTCTCTTCTAGTTACTGACTTTTGATTTCATAGGGGAAATGAATTGGACTCCAACGGAAAAGTTGTCGAGAAACGTGGTAAGTCAATCTGTCTCTCACCAACCAGCCTCTTAACAACATCTACTTACAATTCAATAGAAACCGGCTATGATGCCGAGGGCAACGAGATTGATGAGAGCGGAAACCTTATCGAGAAACGTGGTAAGTCAACCTATCTCTCACCAACCAGCCTTTTAACAACATCTACTTACAATTCAATAGAAACCGGCTATGATGCCGAGGGCAATGAGATTGACGAGAACGGACAATTAATCGACCGTTCCACCGATGGATATGATGCAGAGTATGTAGACCTACCTATCTTCATACACCTGCTCCTATTGAATCGGACAATTACTAACTTTCTACTCAGAGGCAATGAAATCGATTCCAACGGACAAATCATTGAGCGTCAAACCAACAACAAGAAAAACAAGAGAGCCAAGACCGCACGCAGAGGTAAGATCTTACTTCTCTCACCCTTTCTTTCCTATTTTCCTCAATCCAAACATCATTCCATCTACCCACCATACAATAAACATCTACTAACACCATGCAGATTTCAACTACGAATCCCAATACGACGAGGCCGGCAACGAGATCGACGAGAACGGAAACTTGGTCAACGTCTGAGCCACTAATCCTGCTTCATCTCTCAATCTTCTTACAAGTACACTTGCGCGCTGTGTCCCCGATCGCGCACTAGTTGGGTCTCATGTCAATATTTAGTTTCATCAATGAGTTCTCGGGTGTTTCATCAATCCTTGATTATTTCGCATTGTGTCTGGCCATGGATTACATTCATTTGGTACCAGTGGATTGGAAATACTATCATTTATTTATTTTATACATCTCAATCGTTGAATATCTTTGCACGTGATGCGATATTGTGAAATGCAAAGTCTAAAGTGAGCGAGAGGATGGGAGAAACCCACGTCGGATTTGGCTCGCGAACCGAGCTTCCCCTGAAACATCATATGATACTACTCCATACTTTCGGAAATAAAATTTAAAACTCAATATTCACCTAGTGTAACAAGGTACGCATTGTTCCCGGATGTATATGTTTATAATTTTCTCTGTCCAGCTTCCATCATGCCAATCATGCATGACCTAGGCACGCAAGTCGAGTTAGGATCACACCGCTTTTTTATTCTGCCATTATCAAGAAGTCTCGATGAAACATAAGAGGATTATTTAACATCATCTAAAATATGGGCTAGATACAAAGCCTCCTATAAATACTCTATCATGACACCTTTCCCTTTCATTCATGATCATGATCATCATCTACTAGATTCCCGGCATCCCTAATACTGATCTCACAGTAGGGTTCAGTCTTGGAAGCCAAAATACAACAAACACCCCTCCGAACGCGACAATCAATCCAGTTAGCTTCTCAAACCAAGTATGAAAATAAATGGCCGTCATAGCCAGCATGAATAGACTCAACCCCGCCACTCCGAGTATGATCTTCACGCTAAACCCCAACCACCCATCTTGATTCAAACCCTCTGCTTCATTCTGCGAGGGAGCCTCAATCTCTGCTGATTTGATCGCTCCATCTGCCATGACGATCGTTCGTTCCTCTTTTATTCCAGAACTTCGCAGAACCACGTGAAGTACCTCTTGGAAAAGAAACATACTACCCAGAACGAGTAAGAAAACATGTCCACTAATATCATGACCACCCTTCCATTTTCCACCCACAGCTTTACAAGCCACCCCGGTAACAAATTGACGCGTATTATCCATATCAATCTTTCCCTTCTCCGCCGCGTCAACCAACTCGCATTGTCCACCCGTTATAACAAATCCGCGATCGATTAACGGCGGGCCAAAAAACCATTGCGTGACGAATATCCACCAGATTGTAACAACCAAGTAGCGTAATGTTCCGCGTGCTCGTCGGGCTGTGAGGATAAAAACACCAGGAGGACCGGTTGAGGGATGTGTGAGGAGGAAGAAAAAATAACTGGCGGATATCCACGCCCAGCCTTGCTTTACGAAGTATTGGTTGAAGATGTTGCTTTTCTTTGCGAAATATGATGGTGCGGTGCTTGGGGGATGAGATTGGAGAACTGGGTTGTACACTGATGCTCGTACGTCGGGACTCAAGACTGAGAATATGGAGCCTAGTAGCAAAGTTGCAGGATATATCGATAGGAGGATTGCTTCAAAAGTGGTCGGCAGGAAAGGTGATCTCCTTGGCGCCATTTTAATGGTTGTTGATGAAGCTTCAACTATTCGAGGAGATCGTCTTTTGGCTTTGGAAGGTGACTCCATTGTTGAATACTATAACATAGAAAAATCGTCCTTGACTTGGATAGAGAATGAGAGACGGTAGATGGTTGTAAGATCGAGATATACTGTAGTGTTAAAGCTGGAAGTCGCCAGATTGATAAGAGGCAAGAAATTTCGAAAGACACCCAAAATGTAGCCTATGACGTTGACGCTTTCCTTCTAGATTTTGCCATGTGTGTCCACGAACAGGGCAGGCATCGGAATTAAGAAGGCCCGAGGGGTTAAGTGGCTCCTTCCCCAGATTGATTCAATTGATTGAATGGAATTCGTGCAATGGGAACGAGCGAATTATTGGGGGTTTCAAGAGGGATTTGAACAGACTGTCTATTTTCTCGTTCAATATTTAATAGAAAATAATTAATTCTTTTATCCGATACTTCTGAAGTTAGATAGTGAAAATAACACGATACGAACAAGATGGTCTCAACACGCAGACACCCCTCCGAATTCCCCGAAACTCCCAGCCGCACACCCACAATCCCCTCTCGCAATCCTGCCCGCAAAGGACAATGGGCTCACACCCCCTCCAACCTCACCATCATCTGGCTCTTCATCTCGCTCCCACTCGTAGCATGGGATGCTGGATATGTTATGCTTCGACCTCTTTCTATGCCCGGAGGATCACTCCATTGGCCAGTCTGGGCTCCGTATGAATTATATGGAAAGGTCGATTATATATATGGATGGAAGGCTTTCGATGAACACAATGGATTTACGATGGCGCAGACCTTTCTGAACATTATTGAGAGTGCGATGTATTATTACTACTTGTATATCTTATATGCTTATGGGAAATCATCGACGGCTCAGGGAAGAGGTGCTCCTAAGAATTCGGGGGTGCTTGGGGAACAGCGATCTGTAGATGGGAAGATGGGGGCTCTGGCTGTCTTGGTGGGATACAGTGCAGCGGTTATGACACTCAGTAAGACGGTGCTGTATTGTAAGTCTAATTTGGATTTTTGTGGTGATAATGCGTTTGCTAATGTGGCACAGGGATGAATGAATACTACTCGGGGTTTGAGAATATTGGTCATAATAGTGTTCGTGATCTGATTTTCTTATGGATCATTCCAAAGTAAGTCATAATCTCTTCTAGATGTCTCCATTATCTAACAATCTATAGTGGTGCATGGATAGCTGTCCCTTCGTATATCACATACGTAACTGGAAGTGAAATTCTTCAAGGTTTGACAATCGCTGCTGGTGGAGCTGCGGCTTCGAATGATGATGTTTCTTTGGTAAAGAAGGAGTAAATGAAAGCCATGATATATACAAAGGCGTTTGACCTTGGAAAGAGATGTTTGCATGATTTTCAGTTATACATTTGAGACGTACAGCGTACTGCGATGAGGAGATACCATGACAGTAAAGCACATAGTTGCAGGTAATGATAAGATACACGGGTGTACTTTTATTCCTTGCTCGGAATAAGAAATCAAGAATTGAGATCGTTTGACATTTTCTATCAAATGCAGTAACATAATTTGACTAGAATAATGATCAACCATAGAGTGCAATCGTGAACTGTAGGTAGATAGAATAATTTCACATTGGAAATATAAAGGTAATAACATATTGAACCAATGATCTTGGCTACCTTGTAAAGCACACCCAAGTTACAGAGCAGGCTCATGTATCTTAGAAGTGTCGAAATCTCACTGTGATACTACAGCATATTTTATCTGGTTATATATCAACACTGTCGCTCAGTCAGCAACCACTACTAGAAGATAACTTCTAAGGAAAGCCTGCTTGGCGCAGTGGTAACGCGTAGCACTTGTATTTATACGAAATGCTAAGATCATTGGTTCGATTCCAGTAGTAGGCAACTAATAAACCTTTTGTGTTTTTTGGACAATTTTCTTTTTGAGGGATTGTTTGCTCTCTCTTTCTCATATTGATTGATGGTGGTGTGGAGAAGGGTAAGTTCAAAGAAAGTCAAAGGCTTTTTTAGCAGTATCTATTTTAGGTTTCTCTACGTGACACTTTGTTTATTTTCTTTAGTTCTTAGATTGCAGAGATGCATAGGGAAGAAGCTGACTGGGTGAGTTGTGATTCGTGCGTTTAGATGTATTGGTGGAGCGGAATGTAAACCCACTCACTCACTCACTCACTCACCACGTAAATTCACCTAGAGAATAGCCGAGCCGAATAACTTCACATCTGTTTATTTGTATTCGTGAAGTAGGTGTGAACTAGTTATTAGTATATTCGGAGTTGGTACCGGTACGTCCGTACGTACGTACACCTTTGGATTTCACAATTGAGTTTCTTATTTATTTTTCTGCAAAAGGGTCGTTTCCTTGGCTTGGAGACCGGGAAAGAAAAGGCTAGAAGCGAATACAGGTAGTTACTTACCGCACTTATCCGCTAGAGCATGTAGACTGTGTCTCCAGCATTCATTGTATTGCCGTGGAAGGTGTCGTAGCATGGAGATTGTATACCATGGTGTGTGTACGATTTGATATGTTGAACCGGAGCTTGATTTATCATTAAGTATTGTATAGTTATCCAACCTACCTTGCGTGCTTGTGAGCGGAGATTGTTGATTTCTATACTGTACTGTACTGTACTGTAATGTGCGTACGGAACACGATGATTCACTATCCTTCATCAGATCTTGAAGGTTCGGTTACTTCATATCAAATCGGTCAATTCATCGGATCTTGAATTCAATGTTAGGGTTGAGAGGTTCATCGTGTGAGTGTATATGAGTGTTGAATATTAGATGGAGTGAAGCTTCCGAAAAGTGAGCAATTTCTAGGCATGGTTCAATATGTACTCAGAATGGATCAGGATGGTAAAAGATATCTGTCTCGAAGATGCGCACACAGACATGTAAGTATGCGGTACGAATATTTCTACGGGGTGAATACGTCTCAGAGCAAGACTTTGGTATTCGATCTACAAACTTACAGAGATCTTCTAGAGGATTAAGTAATACCAGTTTAGGAACTATCACTTTCCCTTTTCCGATGCGCCAATGGTTATCCTGTTGAATTGTAGCAACTCCTCGAATCTAGAAAACCGGAGGAAGAAAAATGGATTTTAATTATGATGGATTTGGTTATTACTATGCTGATTATATTCTCAAGAGTACAAGAACCGACTTTATCATACGCTTTATACATATTCAGGCTAGCACCTTCTGAGAAAGAGAGATTGAACATGATGATAATCTCTACTACTGAATTTATATCCGCATGTTCTCCTACGGAAAATCCTCAAACGTTCCCTTCACCTCAGCCCACTAACCTCCTCAGAGGCTACCTTCACCACAGCCTAGTAGTGAACCATAATTTTGCATGTCATGAAAAGAAGGAATTCCTGGTTATCTTCCGGAAGATCCTCAAAGATCAATTTGGCGTACCCAAGCTAGTACGAGGCCATGAAATTGGAGGTTAGCTTGTGTAAAACGGGCGCTAGACCTATTGAAGCTTGAATAATCATCGATCATGAGCTACTAGCTAGATATAGACGTCATTCTCAGGAATTGACAGATATGTATAATTCAAACAAACCCACCGAGGAAATTTTAAATCTTCAAATCCACACACCTTCGAGAGAAGGAAGTCGTTGAAGAAAACTTTTGGAAAACGCAGGCTTATCACAATGATGGGCCGAATTACCCAAACTGCTCGAACTGACGCAGTTGTCATGGCCGAAAATAAACCAACTGCTCACAACTATGCAGTTACCCAAGAGCAGAGAAAGTCAACCTCGTCAGCCTTACTTCCTCTTCCAGCAGAAATAATCAGGATGATAGCAGGATTGCTTCCGGATAATTACGCTGCCTGTCTTACTCTTTGTAGTCGCAGTATGAGAGAAATACTTGGAGACCGGTGCTTGAAGGCTATGAAAAATCCACCACCTCAAACATTTAATTTCATGCGTAAAGTTGAGATGAACTTTGTGGCACTTTTGGCGAAAGACCTTCCTCAACACTTCGCATGCTTCGAGTGTGCCCGCATTCATCGAGCGAGAACAATCAAATGGCCCAATAACATTACAGACCGTCTCGGCTGTGTTCAGTGCACTCGCAGTAGGCAGAATATTTATTGTCTCAAGTTTTTGTCGCCCTTCGAAATACATTTCCCTCAAGTTTATTTGGCGACGAAGCAACATCGATCCGGCATCGATATTGGATTTCCTCTGGAGGCTTTCCGGCACCAAGAAGTTACACATGATCAGTCTACGAATATAACGTCTTTATTGTCTGTTGATGCCCGATTTGTCTCCAATGAGCTTCTGTTGCGGTCTCAAATATGGATTCTTGTCCCTCAGAGCCGAAAAGACAGAACCAATGAGAATTTAGGTCATGGTGGATTATCTACTAGAGTCTGTAAACATTCAGAACGATATTCACTGGAGTTCATGGTGTCAGAACTTGTGAGAAGTACATCTTCCCGCACACGAACAGCGCAATGCCATCAATGTTGGATGGACCTTGGGATACGTCGAAAACACTGTGGAGACGCCGGAACTGCGATCATCATTACCAAATGGATCAATCTTGGAGCCGGTCTAGACCCCAATGATGGTAAGTGGCAAAGTCATATCGGACGTAAAGGTCTGCGTCACAAACAACCTTTAGTCAATATCCAAAAAGCTTTCGAAGACCAGGAAGGATTGTCGATGGAAGAATTTACTTCGGGTAATCAGGAGAAGTTGTTTTCGGAGAGGAGAAACCAGCCCTCGAATTGAGGGCCGGATGACGTTGCTGAGGAGTGGATTGGACACCAGACGTGGTACTTGAACTCATCGGGACCAACGTGAATGAGGTTGACGGCAATATTCAACGAGAGTACGAATGCAAGATCATGTCTTGAAAGCAGTAGTATATTTGAAGGATATATTGTAGTTGGCGTCAAGGTACGAGGAGGACAATCTTATGTTTGATACATGGCCTGTCGGGGATACTTGAAATTTTAATGTAATGAAGATTTTGTCGTCTCAGCGTGGATGGTGGATGGTGGATGGTGGATGCATTCTTGTGGTATTGTTTTCGGCATAAGATCTGGAAGTGCCAAGAGTTCGAGAGTACGAAATAGATCAGGACATCTTTCAAAGATTTGGAGATTTAAAGATTTAAAGACTTAAAGATTTAAAGATTCAAACAAGCAGATCATGAAACTTTTCACAATCAAAGGATTGTCCAAGTATCCAATTGCCCAAGCGAGTCCTGCATGTCCATCCCATCTCCATGTGTACCCGATCACGTGATATTAAAACGAGATGTCACCACCAAGACGCTATGATTTGGCTGTGCAGTGAGAGCCCTGGAGAGATCTGATCTCGAGGTAGGCAGGTGGGCTGTGCATAAATTTGAAATGAAAAGACTGGACATTGATGTGATTTCCATGAGACGAGTTTGCAAGATAATTTTGAGAGAAAATGGACGATGGGAGTCAGTAAGCAGTCAGCAGTGAGAACCTTACCTACCCGTGATATGCCATCAGATGATAATTCTGGACTCATGTTACATTGAAGCATTCCTTACATTGGCTCGATTGGGTATTCCAGACTCTCGCACTGGTACCTGCCTAGTTAGTGAGACCTTACTGAATCTTGATTCCTGTATGCTTCAATCAATAATCATGTAGAAACCCTTCCTTGCTCCTGCACATGTATTCATGTATTCACATACAACCGGCAGGTCGGTATATAAGGAGGCATCTACTTTAATGACATGTTCCATAATAAATTGAAACGATAGCTGATTGATATCACATCAACTGAAACCACTCTCATTCACCATCGCTTGAACCTCGCACTTCGCACTTTGCACTTTGCACTTGGAACACAGACGGAGGAGGTATTATCATCAGCCTTCAAAGAATACCAATTTTGAGTTCAAACACACGCCGTTCCTTTATCTACACTCTTATCCCTCGACAAAACAATTGTTTATTGCATGACGGGAGATTGATTGATTGCATCCTTTCTCCCCCTCCCTTCGTTGCTTGCTTAATAGATTAAATTGTCAAGTTGCGAATGCATAATACGAGTTAATCAGAAGTAAGACTGAAAGCAAGATATATTCAGCCTATCGCCACCAAGAGACTACTACTCTCCCACTACCTACGAGCCTACCACGCCTTACCTAGGTATCCAGGTATCCTTACCGAAACCGTCCGACGTCCGTTCGTCGAACCATCCAACCACCCAACCATCCCATCCCATCCCATCCCATCCCATCCTATCCCAATCCAATCCTATCCTATCCTGTCCTATCCTATCCCAATCCTAGACCATACGGCCTTTTCTACAAACCACAAGTGATCGGAGTTCAGTTCTTACTTCTCCACCACAATACATACAAACCACTACCACCAACAACAACCACAAACCTTTTTTGTTTTTTTGTTTCCGCCCTCGATAAAATATCCCTTTTGACGCTTCGAAAGATTCGATTCGATTTGATTTGATTTTATTCCGGCTGGCCGCGAAAAGATCCGGACGGGTTTCAATATTCAACTTTACGTCGGATCATTGGAGAAAGCGAAGCAAACAAGGCAGGCAACATTTGGAAGGGTTGCGATAAGGTTACCGTACCATGATGGAGGACTTCCTGCGGGGGATGCAGCAATCAACTCTCACCACCTCGGTTTTATTCACAACGCCAACGTCGATACCTATTATAGCTGGCGCTCAGGAAGCTCTTCGAGATACACTACAACAAGCGACCGGCCGTCAACATGCGGCGGCAGCTGTTGCGACCAGTACATCTAGCGACAATGTTCAGCTCCAGTCCTCCAACGACTCGACGATAAATGGTGTGGTGATAGGATTATTAAGTTCATTTGGTTCGGCCATCTTAATAGCTTTCATCTTCTTGATTGTTTATTTCTTCAAATATACAAGTAGCGGAAGGATTTTGCTGGATCGGATCGGAAGGCCGGGAGAATACGACGATGAACAGGCTTTCGCAAAGGAAGAGGCCGAAGCCTTGGAAGAAATGGATGATTTGCAAAGAACTGAATATTTAAGAGCCAAAGGTACGTCTGATCATTGTCTACCTGCCGCTTGATGATACTAATGACATTATCCGTATAGCATTCGTACAATCAAACCCACCCGATTCATTACCAACCGACATTTCCCTCTCGCAATACTTGGCAATTCAGGAGAAAGGTGTCTCTGCTTGGGAGTTTGAACCAGAGCTGGAGATTGCGAATTGTTTTGTAGAGGCTCGGACGGAAATTGAATTCTTCGATAGCGAATGTTGCACTCTGACGAATTTACCGGTACCAAAACAGAACGAGGTTTACTATTGGGAGTCTAAGATTTACGATAAGCCAGAAAATACCCTTATTAGCATTGGAGTGGCTACAAAGCCTTATCCTTTGTTCAGGTTACCAGGTATGTCGGCTGGATCATGAATCATGAGGATAATTACTGACGTAGAGCAGGATGGCACAAGTATTCCGTAGCTTACACATCTACTGGACATCGAAGATATAATCAACCTTTTAGCGGACCGGTATATGGACCACAATACGTTCAAGGAGATGTGATCGGAGTAGGATATCGACCTCGAACTGGCACAATATTCTTCACCCGAAATGGAAAGAAACTCGAAGATGTAGCACATGGTCTGAAATCACAGAATCTTTTCCCAGCTGTTGGGGCAAATGGTCCTTGCACAGTACATGTCAACTTTGGACAATCTGGATTCGTTTTTATTGAAGCAAATGTTAAGAAATGGGGTTTAGCACCTATGACTGGTAGTCTTGCTCCTCCACCTCCATATGGTAGTGAACAAGGAAGCATTCTTTTAGAGGCAGGACGAGAAGGTGCACAAAGTAGTAATGGCCATTACCAACCAGATCCAAGACATGGACGAACTCGAAGTGGAAATTTTAGGCATGGTCCACCTACAAGTCCTGGACCAATACGATCACCCACAGATATTTCTTTAGCTCAACTTACACACTTTCCTTCACACGAAGAGCCCGGTGAGGCTTCGAATAGCTCTACACCAGCACCCACAGGAGGTGCTACACAACAAACAGGATTAGGAGTACACGATAATGCACAACCTCCTCCAGAATATACAAGTCCTTTACCGTCAGTGGCAGGAAGTCCTCGAGGAAGTACAGATAGTGAAAGGACGCCAATGTTACGAAGAAAAACTACACCTCCACCAATACCAAGTTATAATGATGCAGTAGCACAAAGAAATCGAAGTCAAAGCCACCGAGATAGAAGTGGAAACCGAAGAGAAAGAAGTGATAGTCATCGAGCCCGACATGGTGATGGAAACCCTTCTCAATCATGACCACCTAGCGTAGAGTGAATTTTCAGAATAAAAGTATATGAAGCGAGAAGTTTGAGAAAGAGGAAGTTTGAGAAAGAGGAAGTTTGAATAAAGACTTTTGATATGCTATTGATCATGGAATGGATCGCCGTGGTGGTGTTTTCTTTTGGGAGGGGGAAACTTGTTAGGACTTGGAGTTTACATATGAATAGCGTGGTGTGGTGTAGTTCCCTATGTTGTTGAATTGAATTGAAGGGTGGCTCGGTGCAGTTTTGGTATGCTCTTATCTTGTCTTGGGTTGGGTTGGTAAGACAAGGGAGGATTTGGAGATAGGTTGGGATGGGTAGGATGGGAGAATTGTTTTGGTTGGCGTATTGGGTGTTTTTCATGGATGGGTTGTTGATGGATGGATGGACTCTTGAACATAAGTTGGGAAATTGGAGAAGAAGATTTTGAAGAGACATTGATATGGATGGAAGGATAGTTGTGGCAAGAGTATCTATCCATAGTGAGAGGGTGCGTGGATGGAGGTATGAGATGAGATGCGATGAAATACATAGGAAGAGATTGGAATGGAGATATGGATACTGATTGCTAGGCGACTGAGTTGAAAGGGGTAAAATGACTTGTGCATAAGATACTAGTCGACGCAATACAAATATATGAAGTTCCTTTGTCATTATCAAAATTCAAATTCAATAAAATCAAAGAAAATTAAATCGAGTGGTCACAGTTTTGTCTGCTCTTAAGCTCCTGGGAAAATTGCATACTTTTCCAAGTGAAAGTTGTGAAACGGAAGATAGTTCTCGTCTGTAGGGACTTTGTCATTGGAACTCTGGGATGACTGGAGGTACTTGTCCTATCCTATCCTGTCCTATCCTGTGAAGTGCGTGAAGTGGATAAGCCATTCACTTTGATCCAGTAGGTGCTTAAGTAGGTGCTCAAGTGGGTAGGTAGGTAGGTAGGTAGGTAGGTAGGTAGGTAGTAAGCTTAGCTGATCTGAGCAGATTCAAAGCAAGTCTAGCTGCTGTTAGTTACCTAGTTTGTGAATTTCATGCAGCGTTCGGCGGGATTCTACAATCAAGATCAAGACTCATCTATTGATTGATTGATCGATCTATGGGATGGGTGAGTGGTGAGTGGTGAGTGGTGAGTGGTGAGTGGTGAGTGGGTGGGGATTATTGTGGTATGGGATGGATGGATGGATGGATGGATGGATGGATGGATGGATGGATGGATGGATGGATGGATGGATGGATGGATGGATGGATGGATGGATGGATGGATGGATGGATGGATGGATGGATGGATGGATGGATGGATGGATGGATGGATGGATGGATGGATGGATGGATGGATGGATGGATGGATGGATGGATGGATGGATGGATGGATGGATGGAGAATTAGATTGGGATCTTGGTTTTGATGGTTAGGGATTTATGGGTTTGGGGAGATGGTTTGGGATGGGATGGGGTGTTTTGATTTGTGTGTGTGTATATGTATATGTATATGTATATTGTCGTTGTGATCTTGAATCATTGGATTATTGGAATGTGTTGTTATTGTATGTATGCATATGTATTTCGTAAGTATTAAGATATCGTTAAAATCGTTTACTAAGAAGTACAAGATGCAAGATGCAAGATGCAAGGAGAAGGTATCTGTATTATCCCCTCTCATCCCATCGCATCCCATACTCCGTAACTTCATAATTCATTTCCCCCCTCACCCCTTAAATAACTTTCACAAACCCCACCTCGACCAATCCCTCCACCGGCAAATCCAAATCCGCCATCTTCCCCCTACTATTCTCTCGAATCCACAAGAAGACCCATAATACCGCTCTGCGTATCCAATTCTGCATCCCGCTCCCTGCACGAATCTTCATCTGTTCTTTGCCGAGGACGTAGACGATTTGGTTGGCGGCTGCGTTGGTGATGCTGTCGAGTTCTTTTTGGATGTTGGGGGTGTGGAGGATACTTGTTGCGGGGGAGGTTTGGTTTGAAGTTGGGTTTGAAGTTGGAGAATGAGATTGAGAACGTGGGGTCGATGGAGCAGGAGAAGCCAAGCTCCGCTGCAGACCCGAAAACGTCCCCGGATCCCGCGTGATGAAGAGTGTGAGTTGGGAGATGAGGGTTTCGCCGATAGACGGCGTGATGATATCGTCGGTGTAGCCGTGGCGGATGGTGATTCGATAACAGCCTGGGATGGAGGTGCGTTGCACGACGTAGCGTTCCTCGTCTGGGACGTGGGGGATGGACAGCGGACGCATGTGCAGAAAAATGATGATTTCGGGGGTGGCGCAGAATTTGCGGACGAATTGCGTGAAGACGATAGGGAGCTGATCGCCGATTTTATCGAAGAAGATGCCGACGCTGGGGACGGTGGTGATGGGGTGAGAACCATAGGCTGCGGTGAGCCAAGAGGTAGGAGTGGCGGAGTGCGAATCAGTGGTTATGAAGGCGGAGGGGGGGATGCGGTCTTGGGCTTCGGAGGTCCACTGTTGTTCTTTTCCGTAGCGCCAGAGCACGAAGATGCAGGAGAGGATGAAGGCGAGGAGCAGGGTGAACCATGCGCCGGTGGGGACTTTGATGAGGGCCGAGGAGAGGTAGACGCCGTCGAGGGCGGCGAAGACGAGGAAGAAGACGAGGACTATGAGGACGTTTATGCGCCAGATGATTATGGCGACGAGGGAGACCATGCAGGTTGTTATGAAGGTTACGAAGATTACGCAGACACCGTAGGCATTTCCGAGACGAGTTGTCTACTGTTGTGTTAGTACTATATTTTGAGTATTGGGACGAGTTGGTACAAAAAGGAGAACTCACGTCACTGTATACTGCGGTTACGACGACAGTACCAATCATAAGTAGCCAATTTGCAAGTGGCATATACACTTGCCCGTGAAATAGCTTCGAAGTATGAACGGTTTTGATGTGTGGGAAGTAAGATAATCTCATAACCTGTGATAGCAATTGAAAACTAGCCGTAATCATAGCTTGTGAAGCGACAATAGCGGCTAAAATTGCGATGACAAGAGAGAAATCTGAACCATGTTAGTCAAGCTTCCATACAGGGAGAAGATGCTTGTAAAACTTACAAAATGTCCCGGGCGGAACCGTATTAAAGAAAGGATTCGTATAAGCAGTCTTCGTAACATCCTGAGAAATATATGCAGCTTGTCCAATATATGCCAATAACAGACAAGGATAAGTAAAGCCCAGCCAAGAAATTTGAACCGCTCTTTTACTGAAAGCTCCCAAGTCTGCAAAGAGTGCTTCGACTCCGGTAAAAGCGAGTAGGAGTCCGCCTAATGATTTCCATCCTTCCTCTTTATTTCGCATAAAGTATTGTCCTGCAAAATAAGGAGAAAATGCTTTGAGAACGGTGTGGTCGTATTGTGCTAAGTTGTAGATGCCAGTGCACATGTTGAATAGTAACCAAATCATAACGATCGGAGCAAATGTAGTTGCGATTTTTGTGGTTCCGAAAGGTTGAATAGCAAATAGTAGGATGAGGATAGCGCAAGTTGTGCCGACGATGGTACTAGTGCTGATATCTGGTTGCGCAACTTCGATTCCTTGAATGGCTCCCAGTACAGATTGGGCGGGTGTTAGGATTCCATCCCTGGTAGTTGTTAGAGGAGTAGCTTCATGTACTTTCACATTGAACTTACGACATAACCATACTAACACCCAACACACCCAAGAATTTTAGAACCACTCTAGCAACTGCGGACCCCTCGATAAAAGTTCGTACATTTTTATTCGAAGCTTTCAAATCATTCGTTTCGTGACGTTCCATCTTGACCATTCCTGAGATATTCGGGTCTAGTCGAACGATGTGTGCATAACGGGCCAGTAAACTGTATAGAGCGAATGTTCCTCCTTCTCCATCATCATCGGCGGATAATACGATGAAGACATATTTGACCGAAACCATAAGTGTGAGGGTCCATATTATAATGGATAGTGCACCCACGAGATCATCGTATGAAGGGTGACTTGTAAAGGTGGAAGAGTAGACATATAAGGGACTTGTGCCTGTGATACAAATGGTTAGCGATAGTGGTTTCTTGGCATGGGAACCGAAAGCATACCTATATCTCCGTAAATGACTCCAGTACTTTGATATGCCAACCACATAAGCATCCATCCAGTATATGTCTAGAAGAGATTGGAAAAACTCGCTTGTTAGAAACAGCCCAAACAGCGCAGATAAACAACTAAAGTCCCAGGAATGGCTTCAAGATCCAACAATTACACACCTGTTTCTTCTTCTTGTTTAAATCTTCATTAGCAATCTCTAATGCCTTCTCCTCAAAGTCATAGCTAGATGCTATCTGAGATACTTTCGATTCTGCCAAAACATCACCAAATGCCAATCCATTTGATCTGTTTGACCTAACAGGCTTTATTTCATCTCTGAACTGGATGTGCTGAGGCGAATCAGCCATCGGTGAATCAGCCATCTTACTACTAACGCTCGAGAATTGCGTTTGTCCTCCGCCCGGGCTATTGATACAATCCGAACAAGTGCTGAAGATGCTGCACTTGGAAAGGAGATCAAGTGTACAGAGAAAGATGAAATGATACAAGATTAAACATGGAAGAAAGTTTCCTATGATAACTATGGGAATCTGAATTCACTTATACTACACCTAGACACACTGATAACGATTCTATACTTTTTTTTCAGTCTCATCCCACCTCGAGAATTGGAAGAAAAGCTATCCATTGGCCAATTGCCCATCCGCCAGGGGTACGCAGATTAGATTTCAAGGGTCCTCAAGGGTAGATATCTCTACACTTGACATCCCCACAGCTGACATCGAACTATCAATGACACCTGAACTCCATTCACTGTGATACCGTTGACAATTTGAATTAATCACTGGATTTGGTCGTCTTATCTTAGAGGATTCAAGCCATAAACTTTTCAATGAGGTACAAAATTATGGAATTTCTTATCCTCGCCTCCGGATTCGAGCAGGCTAAAATCCCTCATGTATTACAAAAATGCCTCATTTCCAGCTCCACGCCTCTTGCGGCAAGAACCAACATTGCGAGGGTGAATTCCGAGGCTTATGCACAAGCGAGAATCAATCTGGGTGATACTGCAACTTGGTGACCTTTTGTGGCGGAGTGGGATATAGGATAATGTGATGTTGTGATCTCTACCTAGGTAATGTGTTTGTATGATGAAGATTCAGCTCTGATGTATGTTGGAGGTACATTGCGCTTCATCCGATTTATCTATTATGCCAATAGATTATTCCAACCTTGATTCTTGCAAGGGTAGACATCAGAGCTACCTACTTATCTTTGAGGTAGATATCATTTTACAACCAATTGTTAAAGTATCGAGGAGATTGTTTGGCAGTCGAGGTTATTTGGGAATGGGCTGTCCACCGCCTTTAGATTCTGCCACATCTTCATTTCTTGGAAAATCCGACAATAATGCTGAAAACTGTGAGTCTACATCTTTCTGTGATCATTACCTGCATTACTGTGGTTCAGATATGTTCCGTCCTGTCCTCAAATCAACTGGTCGTTGCAACTTTATGTAAATCCACCGCGAGAAGCGTTGCGTCGAACATACAAGAATGGCCACTCCCTCACTGGCTGTATGCGTGAATACTGTTGGAAAGGATAGATCAAGAAGTTGAAAAGTCTATATACACCTCTCATGTAAGGTACGACCCATACTGTACATTGTCTTGAAGACTTCGGTCATGTCATTCTCTCACGCTTCTAAACCTCTCCATCAAAGAGATGCTCATCGTATATTCCTCTTGCACAGAGATGACCGACTGTACTTGACCCTGCATACTTCTACATGAATATGCTCTCCCTCTGCAACATCTTATTCGCTCTGCTACGAATCCCCGTCGCCGATTTAATGCACAGTATCTTGATCATCTTAACACCATGTCTCAGAGCTTGATGGCATTCGGTTAAACACAAATCACCTCTAAAATTACCTAGTGCATGACAGAGCTGACTAAGCCCAACCTCCCAACCTCACCTCGTTTTTCAATGTGAATAACTTCATATTCTACAAAGAACAATGACGACTTGACAGCATAAAAACCTCTGTAGTACTATACGTCAATGTAGCTATCTCTAAATAATAACAGCAGAACTGTAGGGAACCTGAATACATCAACATGTTGCAATATTGCATGAAGTCCTTCGCTCTTACCTTGCTTGCCCTGGATTTATACACGAGTCAACTTCCTGGTGAGCTCTTTCCATTCTATGTTATGATACAGGCAAGTGAGGTCTTATCAATATATAATGTTGTTATCTTGCACAATACATCGATTTTCTCACGTTCACGCAAAGAAAAGCATTCACATCAGCCATGTTATTGTGAAGTTACATTTTTTGGGCTGAAAAAGGACATTGACAGAAGCCGCTAATGCTCTGCTGGTCCAATAAATAACACGCTTTAACTCCCCATTACTCAATTTGAGAAGACATAGTACTCAATTTAAACCAAGTCACTGATTTCGCCGCTTTCCTCTGGGTTGGTTCTTCGGCCAATGTTTTTAAATGCTTGATCGTAACCCTTACCCCAGATTTTAGGAAGATCTCCTTGAGGGTACTGGCTCATCTCAGCAAGCAAACCTTGTATCCTTTTCATTTCGTTCTCCATCTTAACTCGATGCGCGTGTAACTTTTTGCATTCCTTCACATAAGCTGCCGCGGCCTCTTCCTCCTTGTCCTGTATCTCACTCAACTTTTTCTCCAAAGTTGGTCTGTCCTTGACACGAATACAAATTCTTCCCCGGACTCGATTCTTATCCACCATAAAATGCAATTTCAATCTTCTGTACTCTTCGGAGACGCTTTCTTCATCTTTTTGCAATCCATCCTTTGTAGATCGTACCCAATTCTTATACAAACGATGTCTCTCTTCACTATTGGCTACCATTCCAAATACTCCCAATTGTTTGATCAAATATTCCCTGTGGAAGAGTGTCATTCCAAGATTCTTGCCAAGACTTATGTTATCCCTTTTAAGTTTTTCGATTGGGGTAGGCACTTCGAATTCGGGATCTGGACATCTTGCATTAAGGGCATATCTTGATACATCTGGATGGGAGTTCGCCAGATTCCTTTTCAGTCTTCTGATACGTATCATCTCTTCTCGTGTGCGAAATACGATACGGGTGGGAGGAACGTGGGGGGCGGTTGTAGTTGCCATTGAGGTCGATGGTGCGGGCACCGTTGGAGATGATTGGAAATTGATAATGAAGGGATGATGCATACAGTAAACATGTGTGTATGTCGTTGTTATCTATGTCAAATGAAATATGTGATGATATATTCAAGGTAAATGTTGTCAAGGTGGTTGTACTATTGAATATATATTCGAAATGTTGTCTGAGTATGATCCAAAAGAAATGGTTTCAAGGGAGGGAAATTTCAGTACTTATGTACAATGTTTCTATCTGGACCAGATAGATTTTGTATTTGGACAAGACTAGCTTGGTGTTAGGCTTAAACTCAAAATCTACCTACCTCGATCAAATTTGCATATTTCAGTGTTAAAGTTTGAGCCGGCGGGGTAAGTTAGGCTCATACTGGGATGACTTCGAGCTTGAAATTAGACTTGACATTGATTTCTACTCAGCTTCGATTTATTTTGTATTTCGCCATGATCTAGTGTGCGCCAGCGGGGTTATTGGTTAATAGATTACCGTTGTCAATGGGAAATATCTCCACTTTCTAGTTTGCAACAGCGGGGTAATTTCCAAGCAGACTGTCGTTATCAACATATCGGCAGGATCTCTATGCATGAATCGAAGATGACAGTACCGAAGTTCAGACTCTGGAATCTTGAAGAGCCTCGCTTAACCTATTTGAGTACTAGCGGCTATTAATGGTTGTCGAAGTACCAAACACACACGACATATGGTATCCAGTTCGAACAAGAATGCTCATATGCATTTACGTATCGAGATCGGAATTATCAACGATACAGCTAGTGGACATGAAGGGCGTATCTGAAATATCTCAAGCATACAGGTGTCACAAGCATTTTCGGCTTCTACATGGTGTCGAATCCTGTTAAGGTGTTTGAAATCTCAAGCGCCCCTATTTCGAACGATTCTAGAGACTCGAAAAAACACCAACAAATGCAATGTACATTATTTCAGGATAAACTTAAATCAACAGAGTGGGGCCAAGTTATGCTATCTGGAGTGAAATATACGCAATTGTTTTGTTCAGGCCATATAATCACAGTTCTTCATCGCTGAACCTATGGTACCTACCTCTCATGACCACCATACTAAGCTGAATTCCCCGTCACCTGACGCGTCTCTCTATCGATTTAAGAATGAGCTAGTCCTTTAACCTGCTGTGAATCATATTAGCTGCTCAAACAAATATTCTCTGATGAGCTTGGAAATGATATTATGTTCAACAGATCTGATGTATAGCCAATAAGGTACAGATTGTTTCTCCATCGTCATTTTCCCTACGTAATGTATGTATACTGTGAAATGTCAATTATATCACCTACATCGCAATCCAAGTGATCTAGAATATCTCGTCTTCGACTCTTATTCCAATGCAGCAAAGTAAACATGCCATTATAAATCCCCCAAAATTCAGTCATCATGATCCGGTCGAATTCGACCCGAAGCATACAGACTACGGGTACTGTTCTTATCCCTAAGAAACCCGAAGAACAGATCATCAGTCACTCATTTCATTTACCTGCAGACCTCCCGTCCACATTTTAGAAATTTTGGAATAGTTTTGTTGTATATCTAGTCCACTTCAATTTGAAAGAGTAATTGCAACCAAACAGCATCTGAAACTTCCTCTCTTTCTCCGTTCTGCTTTCTTTTTACACCCAACCCACTTCTCTAAGTATCTAGAACCCGAAAACACGGTATAGCTTCCCCACTGCAAATATAAACATTACAATAATAAAGCATTCTATTACCCAAACTTGGTATACCACAAAAAAGTATACGGAATCGGACAAATATCCACTCATCCCATCCACCAGTGAGTGCATGGATTGACGGGATACTTCTCAACTTTCGAAAATTTTAACAAATTCACTCTTCAATTGATTGATATCAGAATTTATATTTTGACTACTCTATTTCTAATAAATAATTGTGACAATTTTTAAGATAAATGATTTAATACATCAAGAGATATTCACAAGTCCATTTTTGCAGTGTCCAGTCCGTACACCCACTAATGATCCTTTACACGTCACTCCTTCCCCTTTCCACCATCATCATCTGTACCAGATCATATAAATCCAAATCACACTCCAAAAGCCAAGAATCTATTCAAACCCAGTAATTCAAGACTGATCTTCTTCCCCAGAAATTTCCTCGCGAAAATGATTCACACAAACCCATCACATGTCACATTTTAGAAATAAATCCACTAGTCAATCCATCCATCATCACACGCCGCTTCAAAAACACAACCCAAAGGGTCCAGACTAAAGCATGAGAAACTTCGACAATATTCCACATCCCAGGAGGGAAACGATATACCACTCCAACGCGCCAAGCATCGATCATCTAAAGTTCTCTAGTCATGATCTAGCGTCCCTGATCACTAGTACATAAACTTCCTTTTCAATCTCAGCACAATCCACAATGCGGGTCAGAAACCTCTTGGGGGTATCTATCTTTCAAACGTTCAGATCATAAACACTTCTCCACTTCCCTGGCGTTAGGTAGATCGAGTATAGATCAGATCGAGGTGAGTGGGCTTGGAATATGGAGAGTGACAATCTTTACAGTTGCTCTTGGGATTTGTAGATACTTCTTACTTCTCGAATGATCGTATATTGTATTCGCCTAGCTTCAAATCTCCGACTCGATTCTGAGTGCATTTTATCACATTTTACCATGTACTTACCTGATGGTGATATTCTTCTTTTTCCATCCACTTCCCCCCCACCCAATTACCTCTATACCCATACACTTTCATCCCCCAATCTGATCCCCGACCTCATAATTCCTCTCCTCCATAGCCCCCATTTCCCACCCCTAGAATCCTCCAGCATCTTCCGTCTCTGCCCCCCTCCCTCTCGTAGTCCTTCTCCCTTTCCTTCCAACTTCCAAACACATATCCCGTACGTAACCAAACCCCTACCCCAAACCAAATAACACTCCTGATCTATGAACCTGAAATCTCCTAACTACAACCTACCGCACCAGCATAAGCCATCGAGAGTATGTTCCCCTTCCCCAGTATCCCGCCGAGTTTCCTTTATCTCCCTCCTCCTTCTCATTACAGAGTAAGTTAAGGCAAAGAAAAGAATAAGAAAAGAAAAGGAAAGAAAATGAAGAACGCTAAATTCACCATCTATAATGGCACGATATCAGAACAAAAAGTAACAGTGGTGTGTGGTGCCACTCTACTTCAATCAAATTTCTATTAATTCGAATGTCAGAAAGAGAAACAAAAAAAGTTAAGATCCTGATCGGTACTCACACAACTTGCAACTTTCTTCACATCCGCACATCTCACATTCAAAAGAAGTAATCAAAATGCAAATTCAAAGTATCTCAAATTCAATAATGTAACTATCTAAAAACCATGCAATTCCATTGTATTCATCCCATATATGCACAGCATATACCCCATATGTATCTCATTCTCTCCATTCCTCCGCGAAAACAAAGACAAAAGCAAAAACAAACGCCAGCATTCTAAGCCCTATGGAATATTGTACACCACCTAATAAGGTTGTGTACAAGAAGAACATTAAAAGATGACAGAAGGAGAAGTATGAAAGATCCGCTGGGTATCATGCGGGGTATCAAAATCATGTATCGTAATCTCATTAAGCCGTACCCTATCCATCTAAAATGGACTAACCTAGCACTTAACACCTGTATCAGCTCCCTTGAACATTGCAATGGTAGCAGCAAAAGTGTTACGGTTATCTTTGAACACCGCGCCACTCTGTCCATCAACTGTAATCATGTTTTCAACACCAACGGTTGACAGTCCAGTGATGTGAATATTGCCTGAACCCTCGATTGAAAGCATGTTGCTTTGACAGTTAGAAGTCTGCAAACAATCTTGACTGTAGTTATCAAAGAATGAATAGAGACCAGCACCAGTGATAAAGACATCCTCAGAGTTAACGATGCGAACACCCCATGCTTTATCAGCAAGTGATCCACCTGTGAAAGAAGGATCCCCATAAACTGAGTTGGTGGTGAAAGGTGTTGTGGAATCGGGATTGGATTGATAGTAAGGAGTTTCAGTTTGAATGGCTCCCATAAAGATATTGGAGGCGTTGGCCAATTGATAGTTGTAAAGAACATTGTGTTCACTGGCGGTACCATACATCCAGGTAGGTCCTTCTTCAGAGGCAATCAAGATTCCTCTGCCGCTGTAAACGTCAATTTGGGTATGATCAGTAAGATCAAGTTCATGATCAGCAACCCAAAACCAGTTGTTCTCAAGGTAGATTGAAGCTTTTTCAGTAACGTGGAGAAGCATAAAGGCCCCAATACAGTCTGGGTTGCTGCTGTGAGTTGCGTTTGGATTCTTGGCGCAAGTGTTGGATTGAAGTTGAGTACCAGCACTACCACCGATTCTTGTATGAACATCCCACATTCCTGCCGAGCCCTGGGAAGTCTCCTTGACATTCCATTCGATGAGAATAGCGCCCGCAGCTGGACCCATAGTTTGGAAAACGATATCGGAGATTTCCACGGAACCAGTGTCACCAACTTGTCCAACTTGGAAGACGGCCTTTGGATTGGCTTGATCATTGAATCCCTTTGCCATGATCATAGGCCAGATCTCACCAGTAATCTTGATGTTCTTTGGAACTTTGATGGTGTCAGTGACAACATAAGCACCGTGATCGAAGTAAACAATTTGATCAGTGGTAGCCTTGTCGAAAATTGCTTGAATGGCAGCAGTGTCATCAGTAGTTCCATCACCTTTAGCTCCATTAGACTTGACACTCAAGAATGAAGAGGCTGGTAAAGTCTCATATTGCGGCTTGGTGCGTCCAAATAACTTGCCAGTAGAATCCAAGAGGACTGCAGGCTTGGTAACAGCATCTTGACTACCTTGGCTAGCTGCACCAGCATTGACACCAGTGTAGACCTTTCCTTGAGCCCATGATGCAATTTTGGCGTTTCCGGCAAGAACAGTTGACTTGGAAGTGGCATCATACACAGCAACGGGAACATTCGAAGAGAAGTCGACGTTATCAATAACGAGAGTACCGTTAGTTCCGGTTTCGGTGACATCGTAAACAGTAGAGATACCGATTGGTGTGTTTACAATGGTACTGTCCATCAATGTTGCCGATCCTGCTGCCCGCGAACTGGCACCGCCAGCTGACATATCGAGACCTACACCACAGTTGTTGATCTTGATGTCCTTGAAGGTCCAGAGCCAGGCCCAGTTTAGGTAAATGGCCGTTTGGCAGTTGTTGAAGGTCAAGTTTCGAGAAGTAAACTGTTGGCTGCCCAAGAAAGCACCGTACTTGCCACCGTTGAATGTCAAGTCGGCCATGAAACCACCACTGCCATTATCCATGAAGATTCCTTGTTGGTTGTTACCTTCTCCACCATCAGTTCTCATGTTGAAAACAATGTTCTGTAATGATGTAGCTTGAGCAACTTGCCAATGAATACCACTACCAGTTGAGGCAGGCATGGCAGTCAAGTCGATGACAAAGTTTCTGATTTGACGGTAGAAGTTGTTTCTAAAAGTTCATTAGTATACACATTGATGAAACAAATGCATTATGAAAACTCACTGATTGGTGAACCAGTTAAATTCAGGATCATATGGGTCTGCGTCGAGTAAAGCCATGCCAGCAAAGTTGGCAAGACCTTTAATTGTTGGGAGAGTAACAGCATCGCCAACAAGTTGAGTGAAATATTGTTGTTTAATAGGAGCTGAGATAGCATATGTTCCAGGTCTATAAGTGAAATTAGTAATGTACGAGAAGACTCAGGCATACAAAGGAATAGAGGGTCCAAATGAACTGGATTATGTTAAAACACAAGGTGTATTGACTTACGGGAAGTAAACAAGAGCAGGGGTGACAGTAGTGGAGTCACAGCCTTTACCACAACGATTACCAGAGGAGATGGCAGAGTTGATGGCAGCGGTGTCATCAGTTACACCTTGATATGAGTGTCAGTATGATACCATTTGAGAAGAGAAGTGATTGGCTTACCATCACCAACAGCACCAAAGTCCTTAACATTTCGGAAGATTTGATAGGAAGCATCACCGAATGGCGCAATACCTTGTCGTTGAATCTGCTAAAGTCAGAGATGGTTTTCCAACAACGAGAGAGGTGAAGAAGGACAAATAAACTTACTGAAGCGAGCCAATAACTGCTGGAAGCAGCTGTTGTTGAAGCCACTGCATCAGTTGGCACCGGAGTAGGAGCACCAGAAACGATGAAGAAGAAGCGTAGAGCCAATAAAATGGAAATGATTGAGAAGGAAGCCATCGTGAAGTAGGACCAGCTGCTGCAGGATGTCGACGTCGATGTTGTATCTGGAAAAGAATGTAGTTTCTGCCAGGGGTAAAAAGGTCAATCAGTATTTATGTTGGTATTGTGTGGTGGTTGTGAGGCGGTTGTAAAAGATGAAGGATAAAATCCTGTCTCTCCTTTGTTTCTTGTCACTTTTATGGGAAAGAACGATGGTTCGACTTGATACCAGCATTCACTCGTAAAAGTAGCTATGTTGTAATAATAAATTTCCAATCCAAATCTCATATAGAAGATAAGATTGAAAGACAATGTTGATAATGAGGGTGATGTGATTAGGATTGGTGGCTGATTTTATATTATTGTGGTCGTGGCCGGGAAAGGAACAATAGGATTAAGCGGGATGAATTGTGAGTGCCTTGAGGGGGTGAATCGAAATTCTGAAGCTATTCAGATCATACGACTCGACCTCATGACAAACAGATGGTCAAACAACCAAATGATCAAACAATCAAAACCTTCAAACAACAATAGGAATGGAAATCAGCATTCGATGCCAAGGAGATGAACTCACAAGTTTGGAATTATGTCGTCGAGACAAGAAAGAAGGTTTGAAGAAATGAATGTGTGGCCTGCCAAAAGGTGTAAAATGATGATAATTAACATGTTGGCGGCGGCCCGTGATCTTTATATCTTTAAGATCGACCTTCATCATTTCATCCGGTCTACCATCCCATATCTCAAACAAACCATCTTGAGCACAAAGAGTGGCTTCCTTGGTATGCTCTCCATATTGTCTAAGCGGACTGTTCGAAGAATGGCTCATGACTGGGGAGGAAAGCTTCCGAATCCAATTAAGGGTATATCAGTGCTTCACTCTCCCGGGAACTTAATATGGTTATTAAGTGGCAAGTGCCTCGAAATACGCTATACCGCCGCTTGTATTGGAAAGGTACAGCCGCAACCGATCACTTGGGACGATTTGATTCGATGTTGTTGATACAATTTAGGTTGTTCTACCCTGGTGTGTTTGTTAGTGCAACAGGGGTTCATTAATGCTCCCGTGATGAGTCGACGACAGAGAGTGTGTGCACTGTATATAGATCAGGATACTTGGGTAGTCCCTTGACAGTCTCATCTAGTAACAGTGCCGAGAATGTGGAGGGTCAAAGATTGAGTGAAAACAGAGAAGAGTTGAAACTCGGTGTTTCTTCACGATACGCGGTTGTTGAATCTTGATTGGTACATCGGACATTTGTTGTGGCGGCTCTTAATTTCCCAAGCTACTTTTTTACCCTACCAAAGAGAATCTTCGAAACGGGATCAAGCTTTCAAATGCGGAACTTTTTCAAAATATATGGGGAAGAAGAACGGACGGATCTCATTGCATAAACGCGTCGTCGATCCTTCCCCTTCTTTTTAATATAAAAATTTCAATACTCCAAGCCAAATCCCTTTTCGCCCTTCCGAAGTCGTACAAGCACAATCCAAAATGGACATGTAATATATTTTCATCCCATCGACTGCAGTTTCAACATAGTTGCCGTGTGTTGTTATGCCTACCCTGATTAATCAATTCGTGAAATGATTTCTACGCCGAAAGGCTATCTACAGCTAAGAGGAACGATAAACCCTATAATCATTATCAAGCCCCTTGCCATAGAGCATTCTTTTGCAGCCCAATATATGCGCACCATTTCTTGGGTTGTTTCAACGAAAATTTCGCTCGCGGCTTTGTTGGCTAATGATTGTTGGATGTTTCATGGGGTCTTCAAAGGGGTGCGCCTATGAAACACGGGATGTAGCAGGACCGTTGTTTGGATGAACCGGCTTCGTACTTTTGCTCCGTTTGTGTATTCCATGCAGTTTCGTCGCCTCCTGTCAATGTTCTGGGAGTTTACTGCAATACAGATATCGCTTCACCAACATGACCGATCCGTTACAAGCAGAGAGTAAACTCACTTGAGGGGCGGGGGTGTTGCTTGATATCACGTGACATGCCGATTCCAATTTTGGCTAAATAATTGGGTGGCAGCGCTCAAGTCCGGTGCTCACACACAATTAACTCCAAAAGAGACTTTTTGTTTTAGACTTTCTCATGACCTTTGGGTGTCACTTCTCACCAGCCTCACCAACCTCACCTTTTTTGGACTACTGACGTACTGGTATTCAATTGTAATCATTTTGAACAATTAAAATAACATGTTTAATATCATTTGTGTTTGATGGGTATATTTTAGTGCTCAATCTTAATAAGACGTGTGACATACGCATTTCTCTATGACGCGATATGATATAATTGTGCAGCTTGATATAACGATCATTTTGAAATTCTAACTTCAACGTGAATAATATTAATCCATTCACTACGTTGCAGTTTTGCTACAAATCTTACAATAATAATTACACAGACTATTTGCGATGAAGTAATGGTTTAGAAGTCATCAGTACCTACTCACAGAGAGTGGTGTATTGTAACCCAGTAAAGTGAAATGTATGACCATGAAGTGTATCGCATATGTACATCGATTTAATCAAAATGTAAACACCTTCCGAATCGAAAATCGGCGGCGAGAAGGCAGGCTCACTCACAAAGTGCGCTCCCACGGCAGGTTGCTGTATCCCTAGTCTAAATCAGAACGATCGATTCTTTGGTGCCAGCTCGAACCCGATCGAGAACATTCATCGATAACTCATCAAGGACAGCTATACCTGCTCTCATAAATATTGCATTCCCCCTTTCGTCTTCTTCAAGATATCTTAGGGCCAAGAAACTTGAATGCTCGGCATAGTGTTTGAACTTTCGGGTTCCGACAAACATGAGGAAGAGCGAGACGTTCTTCTTGACTTTAATTGCAGATTCAGTGGGCTTGTTTGGACCATAATGATAGGGATCTAGATCCACAACGATTTCATCATTCCCAAGTGTCCATTCATTCTCCTTGAATTCAATGATTCTATAAAAATATGTCTATTCTGGCGGTTCGCTTTTAGCCTGTATCGGAATAAGAACTGCTGTAACCTCAAGCTTGCCTTCAAGAACGCTACCGAAAGCGTTGCTGCCGGAATGTTAGATATCTACAGAGACGATTTCAATGCCAGCCTTAAGCTCTTCATCTTTATGATCGTATGTTATACCGCCACTGCGTATAGAAGCCCAGCTCCAAGAAGGCACGCACTTCTAGCTTTCCGTATCCTGTCTTTTGACTTTTCTTGAAGTCCAGAGGAGTGCATCTGGAAGTTAAATTCTCCACAACCTGGCGTAATAATCATCTTGAGTCATGTCATGCAAGATTTTTGCTGTCCCAGATATGGCAGGTAGCTAATCAGTCTGATATGTGAGGGAACAGTGACTATAATCCTCGACCATAATGTACCAATTAGAATATATATTTTTGTAAACTTCCCTAATCGGTGAGGACTGAAGTTTGGCATCTAAATACATGTCAAGGAAATTTGTTTCTGATTCGAAACTTGAGATTCCTGTCCGACACTCACAAGTGCTACACTCCCTAAAATCACATAGTCTCTCATCCTGTGCGAAGGACAGAGTAATTCTCGCAAGCACTTACTCTTGCAACACTCACCCACATCTCCTTAGCTCACTATCATGCAGTCCATGTGATTCAAGCCGCCCGTTTGCATCATGGTCAGAAATTTGGTCTTAGATTCTACGTGCATAGAGAAAGTCTGGCGGTCATCTCCGTCAAGATATGGCAATCGTGGGCTGAGGGCGGCAAAACGTTCGGTTACGTTCTTTGTTTCGATCAAGTTGACTGAAATATTTGAGGTTCCGACATTGATGACTCGCGTTGGCATTTTTGGGCCGACAATATAATCCAAATTGCATTCTCAATGTGATTCACAGTTTGCAATCCAGCTTTGCGCTGTTTGTAAGGATTCAGGCAAGGTATTCGAGATTTCTGGTGCATCGGTGATAAATGGTAATGAAAGGCCACCCATAGTCCGAAACAAGTGACGGGCAGCTGCAATTCATGTAAGCCAGCGTAAGGAGAATTGATACTTATTCTTGAACTCAACGTACATAATGTAAGCTCATACAGATGCCTGTATAATTCAATAGCAAATGGTTGTGCGAACGCGCTCTGCGAACTCGCTCTGCCTTATTGAATACCTCTTGATACCATCAACATCTTTCACCTGTAAGTATACGCTGAAGGGTGAACCTCGGAAATGGCCTTTGCCCAATGCAGGTATAGCTTGAACTACAAGTGTACAAAGACAACAACCTTCACGAGCAGCGTCAAGAACAGATTTTATCCATCGTGTCTCAGTAACCTTAAGTCTGTGAGGTTCGTCATATATCGAGCCTTCTATCCGGTGTTTTTTACCTCGGTATTTTATATCAGGATGTTGCTACGTGTGTAGTAATTGCCATTCTCCTGAAATATCCTTATGTCATCGCATACATAGCAGACCATGTTGGCTCTATGATGAGGTTGAGGAATACTGTTGACCGCCTCGACAAAGATATATATTGAATTTTCTGATTTCGTCAGATTTACTAGCTTGGATTAGTTAGCATTAGATCTTTGGCTACCTGAATCATGAATACCTACTGGTATATTACGTTTACACATAAACTTATACCTTTTGGATAGGAAAATATCTGAGTCGATAGAGTTGTCGGAGGAAAGGCTATAGTCTCCTTCTTGATCAAGCTGAGATGTAGTACTGGAAGGAGACGGAATCTTGCCCAACGACTCTGATTTAAGTAGCTCCATCTGACAGTGTTTAAACGTGGATGAAAAATCTTGCAGACGTTGCGTGGAATATCACTTTGTCTATCCTATTTGCGGGCGTTGAAGAATAGATACGCTGTATAAAACGACGCAGTGTATAGCTTGTATGGCTTTGTAGTTGTCACAGGTATGACTAAGATATAATGGTAATATCCGGATATTGTTGATATGAACTTGAAATATTCAGAAACTCTACTGCTTTTGATGATGGTGAGGACGACGATAGTAGAGGATTTCATCAGAAAGTGGAAAACTATTCTCTCTCCTGTTGACTCTTCGGCACCCGCTTGCCCGACCTGCATCATGATAAGCCGGCATACCCAATGGATTTCACCAGCTGGCTAGCGTTATGACACTTGATGGTAAACTAGCCTTCAGACATTTTCTGGAATGCAGCAGAGGAATGAAAGAATCGGTAGGTTTAGTTTTCGGCTGGGTGACCGGCAACTAACTGCACTCCATACCTTGGGATGGAATCTATTAACAGAAAGAGGCTATATCTTCACAAGTAGTTTTCATTTATTTCCACAGTATTGACTGTGTGGTCTCAATGGGCAAATACACATTGAATATTGATGTATACACTGCCACATGGCAAGCTCGAGAGGTCAGAAGTGGACAGGTGTGTAAGGATTGTCAATGAACAAGCTAATGAAAGAGTCTAGGTAAGCAAACAATCAATCTAGTATCATCATCTTATGAGTTCGATGGTAAGTCGTGTCTTTTCAGCAACGAGCAATTAGCAACCGTAGACCATGGCATGACATATTCTGTTATGGAATCGAAAAACCAACGAACCGGACCATGATGCTAGTGTATGCATAATCTAGATGTCAAGTGGTGAGAGAGAATAGTGCAACAGTCGCCTAATGTCCCTTGGTTCTTCATCTCCACTACGCACCATTAGATTGTAAATGTGATATGATCTAATGTGAAAAGAGAAGCCTAAGCTGCCAAGACTTAGCTTGCCTTCAATAAGACTGGCAGTCTGGATTCTCTTCAGTGGCTGTCAATCCTATTCATGGCTTAGGAGTCTTGGGAGGGGCCAAAAGGTCCAACATTTTCATCACCGCCAACATTGACCGGTTTTAAAGGCAAATCGAAGCATCTCGAATCAAAAGTTCCACGTAGCGATGATATGATAGCTAAGAATTAGAATGGAAATCGAACTAAAAGGAATCTTCAAGGACTCCCTCAAACTTACTAGAAGCTTCCGAGACACGTGATATTACCCACACAAGCCTCATTCACCAGCCTCGATTGTAAAGCACAGTACAGAAATCGGTCAAAGTTCTTTCCCCGCTGATAAGATGAGCCACTCCGATAAACAAAAATGAGATTCTAGAGGGGAAAGAAGAAATCCATAGAATTTGACGGTTTGATTGATTGAGAGAATGAATATTCAACAATGCAAAACAGTAGAAAAATGTGAAGTCATGTGAATCTCATCTCTCTTCATAAGATGTTAGTAAGATTACTAATATATAGCTAGCGGTTAAGGAGAGAGATATTTGGATTATGTATTGACTGTTTGCATTCAATTGAAAAAGAAATAACAGCTACCTAGCTATATAATTCTAAAAAGTTCCATATACATCACATCGTTTGTATTGCCTTGTCATGTTTTCTCCGCCGTTGATTGGTTGATGTAGAAGTGGCGCGTTGCTAGGTGGTCTAAAAAAGGTTAAGCGACGAGAAAGTTCCTTACAATTCTACCATTTTCTATAGCGAGCCTTTCCATAAAATCCCCAATACCCTTCAACGAAAAGTCGATTCTCTTTTTTTCTTCAAACCATTCAAAGATACCCTTCCTTTCTACTTTCTGTCTATTAGACCTCTACAATACGATAAACTTAACGACTTAACGAATACCATCAACTGTAAGTTACTCCCAATAATCTTCCTGTGTCGAAGCAACCCCTCGATCTACCACCAAGAAACTCTTGGGAGCTCAGCCTTGAAAAAGAACGAAACCCCAGCGAGCTTCGGACAATTACTTGCACTCTACAAAAGCTTGACAAGAAGCTCAATAAACTTGTACAACTTCATTTTCATCGAGAAATCCATACTAATCTACCCTCTTCCTACAGTTTCTCCGTTTTTACATACACAATCACAAATATGGCTGGCGAAACTTTCGAGTTCCAAGCTGAGATCTCTCAGTTGCTCTCTCTCATCATCAACACAGTTTACTCAAACAAGGAGATCTTCTTAAGAGAACTTGTTTCCAACTGTTCCGATGCTCTCGACAAGATCCGTTATGAGGCTCTCTCAGATTCCAGCAAGCTCGACAGCGGTAAGGATCTCCGCATCGACATCATCCCAGACAAGGAGAACAAGACTCTTACCATCCGCGATACCGGTATTGGTATGACCAAGGCTGTAAGTATATTCATAGACGAAGACTCAAAACCATGGCTAACCAACAATTCAGGATCTCGTCAACAACCTCGGTACGATTGCACGATCTGGTACCAAGCAATTTATGGAGGCTCTCACCGCAGGTGCTGATATCTCTATGATTGGTCAATTCGGTGTTGGTTTCTACTCTGCATACCTCGTCGCTGACAGAGTTACTGTCGTCTCGAAAAACAATGATGATGAACAATACATTTGGGAATCCAGTGCTGGAGGAACTTTCACTCTTACTCAAGACTCTGAGGGTGAGCAACTCGGCCGTGGTACCAAGATCATTCTCCACTTGAAGGATGAGCAAATGGATTACTTGAACGAGTCCAAGATTAAGGAGGTCATCAAGAAGCACTCCGAGTTCATCTCATACCCAATCTACCTTCACGTCTCCAAGGAGACTGAGACCGAAGTCCCAGATGAGGAGGCTGAGGAGACCAAGGAGGAGGATGATGAGAAGAAGGCCAAGATTGAGGAGGTCGATGATGAGGAAGAGGCCAAGAAGCCAAAGACCAAGAAGGTTAAGGAGACCAAGATTGAGGAGGAAGAGCTCAACAAACAAAAGCCAATCTGGACCAGAAACCCATCCGACATCACCGCTGAGGAGTACGGTTCATTCTACAAGTCCTTTCCAACGATTGGGAAGATCACTTGGCTGTCAAGCACTTCTCTGTTGAAGGTCAACTCGAATTCCGTGCCATCCTCTTCGTTCCAAAGCGTGCTCCATTTGATCTTTTCGAGACCAAGAAGACCAAGAACAACATCAAGCTTTACGTTCGTCGTGTTTTCATCACTGATGACGCCACTGACCTCATCCCTGAGTGGTTGAGCTTCGTCAAGGGTGTTGTTGACTCTGAGGATCTCCCACTTAACTTGTCCCGTGAGACTCTTCAACAAAACAAGATCATGAAGGTCATCAAGAAGAACATCGTCAAGAAGGTTCTTGAGCTCTTCCAAGAGATCTCTGAGGACAAGGAGCAATTCGACAAGTTTTACGCTGCTTTCGCCAAGAACATCAAGCTCGGTATCCACGAGGATTCCCAAAACAGAGCTGCTCTTGCCAAGCTCCTCAGATTCAGCTCCACCAAGTCAGGTGATGACATCACCTCCCTCTCCGACTACGTTACCCGTATGCCAGAGCACCAAAAGAACCTCTACTACATCACTGGAGAGTCTCTCAAGGCTGTTCAAAAGTCACCATTCCTTGACTCCCTCAAGGCAAAGAACTTTGAGGTTCTCTTCTTGGTTGACCCCATTGACGAGTACGCCATGACTCAACTCAAGGAGTTCGAGGGTAAGAAGCTTGTTGATATCACCAAGGACTTCGACCTTGAGGAGACTGATGAGGAGAAGAAGGTTCGTGAGGAAGAGGAGAAGGAATTCGAGGGTCTTGCCAAGGCTCTCAAGAACGTCCTCGGTGAGAACGTTGAGAAGGTTGTTGTCAGCCACAAGCTTGTCAACGCTCCTTGTGCTATCCGTACCGGTCAATTCGGTTGGTCCGCTAACATGGAGCGTATTATGAAGGCTCAAGCTCTCCGTGATACCTCTATGTCATCATACATGTCCTCCAAGAAGACTTTCGAAATCTCTCCAAAATCACCTATCATTAAGGAGTTGAAGAAGAAGGTTGAGGCTGATGGTGAGAACGACCGTACCGTCAAGTCAATCACTCAACTTTTGTTTGAGACTTCCCTCCTCGTTTCCGGTTTCACCATCGAGGAGCCAGCTGGATTTGCCGAGCGTATTCACAAGCTTGTCTCACTCGGATTGAATGTTGAGGAGGATGCCGAGACTACCGAGGATGCTCCTGCCACCACTGAGGCAACTTCGGATGCACCAGTTGAGAGTGCTATGGAGGAGGTTGACTAAATTTAAAAAATGGCTTGGTTTTTGCGGGATAGTGGAGTTTTAATGGTTGGTTTTTCGGTCATGCATTGAGCCTGATTAGTATTTCTCTTTTGATGCTCATTTATTTTTCATTCCACATGGTCTCAATAGATACATGAGGTATAATCTTAAAAATGTACTTTGTGATAAACATTGCGCGTTAAGACAAAAGAAAAGAGATAGCAGAATACAAAATATTTACTGTACAATTGCGTGTTTAATTAATATAATATTGAGTGACGATGAAATTTCTCCACGGGTATATTCGTGTGACAATATATTATTCTCCTTAAGATCACATACTAATGATTATGAAGTTTTCTCCCTATCTCGTACAAGTGTACTGAAAAGATCCTTTTTGTGCTGGGACGCGGACCAACTCGGACCGGATATGGCGTCTTAAGGTTCGAGGCGTTCCTGAAAAGTTGCACGAGGGGTTACATATGCACAACATGACATCTAGAATTACTGGGATTGTGTTTGGTTTGTAGAACTGAAAACATGCTCATCATCTGCTCTTTCCAATGGATTGGGTATCATTATGATGAATATGATCGATGTGGTGAGCACTGATGGACATCATGATCTTTGTTTCCAATAGACTGGTTTGTAACTTTGTCCCGGAGAGTTAAGGGGGGCATGATTTTAGATTGGGAAAGGACGAGACAAATAATATGAAGGAATGGGAGGGATCGGGAAATGCATTTTCTGTTGTAACTCATAGTTGGTAAGAGCACAACGATAGTAAAAATGTATGAGATCTGTAAAATCGACGAATAGGAAGCATTAGGGGATTATTTTGTGAATGGGTAACAGTAGTTTGGTAAGATACATTTCGTTTATCAAAGCCAGAATTGGGAGATGGGGATACATTATGGTCATGGGAGTTCGTCATCCCGGGAACTGAAGATGAGATAGTATAGGACGATGAGGTTAGTTCCTAACTGCATTGTATAGTATCGAATCGAATGGAGAATATCAAAAGGAATATCCGTCAATTGACTTTCGGAACGGCACGGTTAGTTGATTGTTGCATAAATGGAAATCGTTGTGTTTGGCAGGAATCTTCGCTAGGTAGGTATGATGTGCAGTTAAGGAAGGAATGAGGAGTGAAGTTGCACGATCTGGGTAAACAATATGTACCTTGATGGATGGCAAAAGGAAAGTTAAGGAAATGAGGAGAGGGTATAAAATGTACGAAATTCCCTGATTTGAGAACTTAGATTTTGTTTCTCTCTTCATCACATACACATTGAGCTTTACTTCTTTTGCTACGAGTCTTGCTTAAAGTACAATACATTGCAACACAATCCATTCGCTGTTTACAATTCATTTGAATTTCAATCCATTATACACTCTCAGTTCAATTCATTTCAATCTACTTTCTTAAGTGATCGCTCTCTCACCTCTCACACTTACTTACATCCAATCACCTCACATATTCAACCGCAATAATGCACTACAAACTCCTCCTGACCATTTCTCTCCTCCCCACTCTCTACGGAGCACCTGCACCTGCACCTGTCCCAGACGTAGCAAACGATAATCACTCACCTTACTACTCTCCACCCTCCGTCTCTGTCCCTTCTCTTCCTGCCCCAGCTGTCCCATCTGTTCGTGCTGCTGGCGGTAGTACTGGGGCTAGTGCTGGGAGTAGTGATCCACTTGGACTAGGTGGTCTATTAGGTGGTCTCCTTGGTGGCTTTGGCCTTGGTGGTGGTGGTGGTGGTGGTGGTGGTGGTGGAGGAACTGCTCCAGTTGCAAGTATCCCAGCTTTGCCTGCTCCAAGTGTGCCAATTTTGCCGACAAGTCATTATTATCCTACACCTGTTCCGCAGGTCTCGGCTACTTTGCCTGTAGGCGGCGGAGGTCCGGTTGTTTCTGCTACGATTCCTATCGGTGGTGGTGGTGTTTCGATTGGTGGCGGTGCGTCGGCTTCTGCTACTATTCCTATTATATCTGCTACTCTTCCAGCTGTTGGTGGTGGCTCAGGGTCAAGTGTGGGATATAATGGCGGTGGTGCTAGTGGAAGTAGTGGAAGTGGACCTGGCATATCTGTTTCGGTACCTATTCCAACCGGTGGTATTTCAGTTGGTGTTGGAACTTCAGATGCAGTTACTGCTTCACTTCCTGGTGCTACTATCTCTATAACTCAACCTGGTGGACCAATTGTTACTTCTGACCCTGCATCGAGTGGCTGTCTGGCTAAGGATATGTCGACATATTCGCTTGTGATTGCTTCTACTATTCCTCAGACGACAACTAGCATCTCGCATTTCACTGTTCCAGTTGTTGAAACGATTTCTACAAATTATGTGCAGGTCATCTATTCGACAGTTACTATTCCAACTACAGTGTTGAAGACTAGTCAAAGTACTGGAACTACAACAATTATTGCTACTTCTATCGTTACCAGTGAGTTGTGCTCCTTAATTTTTTCCTCATTTATTGTCATGAATTTGCCATTGAGAAGATGAACTAATGTATCACGATAGGCCTTCAAACCTCTCTTACAGCCGTCTGTCAAGATGGTGATCTCCCTGCAGCTCCTACTGGCTCTGTACCAAGTGGATCTAGTGCCAATGGTGCCGCGAGCTCAAGTGCACCAGGTGCTACCATCAGTGTTGGACTTCCAAGTGGTGGGAATGGAGGAAGCAGTGGATCTGGAACTCCAACAGGAGGAAGCGGTAGTGGAAATGGGAATTATGGTGGACATTACTCCAGAGTCTGATTTAATTGATTGATGGGCTAGGTCGAACTATATGAGAAGGAATATTATGGGTTTAAATTGCTTCTAATTTTGGTGGAGATGTTTATGGTTCATAATTGTGGTTGATGTTTTGGGACAATTTGGTGAATGGTAGAGGGATAAGGATAGCTTGATCCTACATATTCGTGAAATGGGGAGCTCTGGTTGTCAGGACTCAGCTTTGGAAGATATGTTTGTGTGTGAATGAGATGAGTGGGATGTTTCTTCTGATGGTAGATAGTATATTTTTGTTGGTTCAAATTGAGATTAATCACCTCGTATGGTTTTGAGACTTATGAATTGCTTAAGGTTGGTGAATGTCTCCGAGACTCGTGTATGATATTTACTAGAATTGACTTGGAGATTGAGCCGTAAATATTGGAGATGGAAAATTCGTCTTGAGTTTGCGTCTTGCACTAGGTCTCTCCTGATGTAATCTCTGCTAGATGTCTGCGCTATGAAAATGAGAATGACCATAGCTATACCACACTACCTTCAATATCTATACGTCAAACTTGTACCAATACATTGTTAGAAGGGCCAGCGCAACGAATTAAGAATTCCCATCCCGTAGATACTACGAATGTTGGCTCTTGAAGAAGTCAAATTTGGTGGATTATTGTGAATTGAAGTGCGATTCAAGAGAGGTACGGGGAGAGAGAGAGAGAGAGAGAGAGAGAGAGAGAGAGAGAGAGAGAGAGAGAGAGAAAGAGGCTATGTACATCTTTGACGCAGACGTATAACCGTAAGGGTAAAGCGCGAGGATGAAGCGAGGGTGGTATGTATAGAAGGGATGTGAATCTTTCCGAGGAGTCTTCCTACTGAATCGATACTTGAATACGGTTCTGGGTATTCATGTGCTCAATACGGGTATGGATACGGCCACTTTACTTTGTTGCTTGCGAGGTACGGTTGAGATTTTATGCTGTGTTGTTATTTTTAGTATGTCCTTGTGTGAAATTGTACGGTCGGTGATGGAGGGATAGGCAAATTGGAAGTGGAAGGAGATGTATGTGTCATTTTCGTACGGTTATTTTTGGGGAGAGTGTTGATGCTGGCTGGGAGTATGAGTGTGAAGGCAGTTATGTACGGTGATTGTGATTGTGATTGTGATGTTTACGGCGAGTTGGAGGTACGAATGTAGGTACGAATACGGTGAGAAACACAGCAGTATGAACTATCACCGTATGATAGATCTGTGTATCGCTCTCTATCCTGCACCCATATAAGCTCTTTAGATTCCATCGACCAACTCACGATATCCCATTTGCTCGACATACATCTGGATATTCAAACCACAAACCACAAACCAGAAAGTTCATTAACGAGTAAGCACCTACTTCACCATGCCGAATACAAGAGCAGCGTTGAAGTCTGCGCAGAATATAAAGCAGAAGCAGAAGCAGAAGTTAAAGACGGAGCAGAAGAAAAAGATGATCCCAGCTAGAAGAACTACACAACCTAAACACAGCCCGGAGAACACAAAATCAACTTCGATTCTAAAAGCAATGAAAACCTGGAACTCGAAAATACATGCAGATAGAAGTCCGGAGATTGCCAATTTGAAGACCGATGCGAAGTCCACATCGAATGCCACTTCAACTCCAAAGCAGAAGCTAGACACAAGCTCAGCTAGACAAACTACACAACCCAATTCCAGCTCGGAGACCACGAAATCGAGTTCAACTTCAACTCCAACTCCAAAACAAGAGATAATCTGGCACACAAAGATAAACAGAAAGAGAAGCTCTAAACCCACGAGTTCGAGAAAAGATACGAAGTCCATGCCGGATACAACCTCAAAGCAACAGACGAAGTTAAACATAACCCCAGCTAGAAGAACTACACAACCCAGCCTGGAGAACCCAAAATCAACTCCAACTTCAACTCCAAAACAAGAGATAATCTGGCACACAAAGATAAACAGAAAGAGAAGCTCCAAACCCACAAATTCGAAGAAAGATGCAGAGTCTGCGACGAATCCAACTCCAATTCTAAAGCAGGGGCTAAGCGCAAGCTCGGCTAGAAGAAATTCACAACCCAAATCTAGCCCGGAGATCACAGGATCAACTCCAAAAGCAAAATTCACCCGGAACTCAGAGTTCAGTGGAGAGAGAAGCCCCGAGATTGCGTATTCGAAGAAAGATGCAGGGATTTTGACTTCGAATACTGCTGCGAGAATGATTATCGAGATTTCAGATTCGGATTCGGATGCTGATGATGGTGTTGATGGAGATGAAGTTGGACATGTGGATATTGATGAGGATGAGGATGAGGATGTGGATGTGGATGTTGAAGTTGGAGATGAGGATGTGGATTTTGGTATTGATAGTGATGGAGATGTGGATATCGATGGAGATTTTGACGAAGATATAGATGTGGATACGAACACAACTCCACAATCTATTCCAATGTATAGTTCAACGCTAGATGCAACTCCAGATATGTTTTTGATACCCGGTATCAATTCTGCCCCGGCTTCTCCATATCTAGGAGACCCGATGCCATGGGTATCAGAAGCCGAACCAGAACCAGCAGCGGGATTAGATTCGGGATTGGGGAATTCGACGCTAGATGCAACTTCAAATATCATGGGGTTGATACCCGATTTCAACGCTGTTCTGACTTCTCCATATCGGGGAGATCTGATGCTATCGGTTTCAGAAGCAGAACTGGAACCAGCCCCGGGATTGGGAAATCAAGTCACTGGAGATGGAGTTCTTTCATCCGATGATATGCACATAGATATGGATTCACACGTGGATTCGCACCTGGATTCGCACATGGATTTAGATATAGACATGGATATAAACATGAACGTAGATTTATACACAGAAGCCAACAAAAGCCCCTCTCCACGTCCTGGAAAGGAATTTACATGGATCCACCTCTGACAGCGGAAGAAAAGGGTTGGGATTTTTCGAATGTGGGGGTCGAGGAGATTGATGGGTTGTTTGGGGAGATGGAGAAGGGTATCGGGGGAGGGGTGAGCGGGAATGTGGATGTGGAGATGGAGATGGAGGAGTAGAGGATGTAGGTGCTGATGTGGAGATGGGGGAAGGGGAGGGGATGAGAGTAGATATAGAAGAGCAAAGCGAACAGACACAGATAGAAACACAGAACCTTGAAAGAAAAAGCGAAAGGCTGAAGAAGAGGAAGCTGGGGGAAGCGATTGAGAAAAAGGACGAGGGTTTAAGAGGGATGTTAGACCATTGAGCTGTTAAGCTTTCACTCAGGTAGTTGACTTGTGAGAATTGCAAGTTGTGAATTTGGTTTCTGGGGAATACGATGACATGCGACGGAAGGGGAGGAGACAGAATAGTTAGCAAAGAATCATAGCATACATATCTATTTGACCATGCTCAGAATTTCGACATCCAAGACTCGTGTTTATCTCTGTACAACTACTCACTAACGCGGATGAGGTGTCCCTCTTCTTTTCATGGTATGCATAATACTAGGCTGTGAAATTGAGGATAATTCATCCCGACTCGGAGATTCCTATGCTTCTGATCAATTCAGCGTACATATCAAGAATTGTACGAGACCGTAATGTATTGCATGATCTATAGTGAAAGGTAAATTAAAACGGGAAAAAGAAGGAACACTAGCATCGACTCCTTGAATCTCTAACCCTCAAGTCTAAAGTCATAAATTGTAACACATACAAGCAAATCACAGATCAAATATGTGCATATATTTCCGAGGAAAATTCACCGATTTAGAAACCTAACTAATGACTATTACCATAAATCCTGGTATCTTACGCCATTTTCTGTATCAATCCACTTCCACCACACTCAATCCCATTCATCCAAAGAAACTCTCGGATGAAATCTCAATTACAATTTGAAAGAAACTTTTATCGTAAACCGTGCATCTCGCAATCAAAATGATCTAAGTCTCCACGAATAACCATCTACCCAATATTCTCAAGGCAAATAACATCCTCCAGCCATAACCAAATTCATTCTTGTAAACATGACTTTGTAAACTGGTGATCTCTTGGTTGGGAATGCAACAATTTGATCTGGAGTAATCATTGTTTCCTTACCCTTCTTCTTGGAAGATCCAGTAGTAGGATTAGCTTGAGCACCGGTAATAGCACCCGTAACACGAGTTGCATCAGCTTGTCCACCAGTACCGATGACTTCACCATCAGTGTTCTTGTATGGATCGGAAGGCACCTCAATATCCCACAAACGAACAGTACCATCAGCTCCACCTGAACACAAGACTGTAGATTCAACACTGAATGATAAAGACCAAATTCCTCCCTTTCCATGACCTCTACAACGTTTAATTTGTGTTCCCTTTGCAAGATCCCAAAGAATAATACTACCACCACAATCTGCAGATGCTAAAATCTTTCCATTAGGAGCACATTGAAGAGCACTAATGGTGTCGGTATGACCAGTAAAGACACGAACGCAATCACCAGTTGTAAAAGACCACATGCGAACAGTCTTATCAGCTTGATCACTTGCCGAGAAAACATATGCTCCATTTGGATGCCAGGCGATTTGATTGACATTGGAATCATGACCAATGAACATTCGAAGGTATGAAATATGATCTTGTCCCCAAATACGAACAGATCGATCATGACCACAAGTCAAAAAGTAATGACCAAATGGTCCCCACTTTACATTCCACACTGGACCTTCATGACCTTTGTATACGACAAGGCAGGCCCATGCTTCGAGAGACCAAAGACGAATGGTTCTATCCGAGGAAGATGAGAGAAGTAACTTTGGAGCAGTAGCTGTATCACTTTCATCTGCACCTCGAATCGAAGGAGAGAAAGATACGGCATAAACAGGTGCGGAATGACCGATTAGACGACGAGAGTTCGATGGTGGCGGATCATTTGGACCTGGTTTGGTTTCACTTGGCAATGGTTCGCCATGTAGATGCCAAACACGGATGTAAGATTCTTCCGTTCCAACAGCGACCAAGTTATTGTCATCGGAAAATTCGATACAATTGATTCTAGCCACAAGTTAGTATTCTGTCAGAAGGCTGCTGTCAAATAACTTACGTGTCGAGAGTATTGTGGAAAGTAAACATGCAAATAGAGACTGCAGGACCAACTCCACCATTCCGGCTTTCAATCTTGAATCTATCTCGATGTTCTTTGATCTTCTGAACTTCCATGATGACATCCCGAGCACGAGAAGGAGGGTAAGGAATGTCATTGCGGCTAGGTCCTTCAACACCTTCCTCACGCTTGATACTTTGATCAAACAAGTCCACCAAGGATGGTCTGCCGAGCTCAGGTGGGTTCTTACTATCTTCCTCATCAAGATCTGCGCGAACATCTGCAGCTAATTCTTCCTCCATTGCCATTGGTCCCAATAGTAACTTGGCATTATTATCTTGGATATCTTTGTTCGTGACTCCGGTAAAAGCTCCGGGGATTCCTTCTTGAAGGTCAGACTCTTCCGGTTCAACACCATGTGCTTGATTGATGATAGCTTCAAAACTATATTGATCAATGGGTCCTCGCTTTGTTTCACGAATTTCGCAGTAAGTCTGTAGCAAATAAATGATAACAGATCCTCCTTGTTTGCTGTTCGATTCGAGGTGAGTGATGAGGTTGAAGTAAACATGGGTATTGAGAGGGATTCGATATTTTGAGGATAGATAAAGCTTAGTGATTGTATTATCGTTGATTTGTTGTGGCAAACTGATTGTATCAAATGTAGTGAGTTCATCGGCATGGACTTGTTGGAATTGATTTTTGAATTCATTCAAAAAAGCTTTTCCATCACTTGTATAATTATTTGTAATGAGCTCAATAAATGAATAAACAAAAGTAGGCCAAAGGAGTCTGCGCAACTCAAACTGTTGCAAGATGTATTAGAGATTTTGACTTTGGATATTGAAAGAATTCTTGCTTACCTTGTAAATATCCAAGTTAGAGTCGATCCAATTACTCAATAATCGGAAACCCTTTGCATATTTTGCTGTACCAAGGTCCTCGGCACGTTCTTGAATAGGTTTTCCATCTCTATCAAGGTTGGAAGATTCAGATCGTAGCATCTGCTCAGTTCGATTGTAACCTTTTTTGACGAGGTACTCGATAACCTTTGCTCGACAATGCTCGTTAGCAGCCGTTTGCATAGGAAAATGGAGATTTTCTGCGGTAGAAGCATGAGGTGATGAAGTTGAAGAAAGACGAGAATAAGGAGAGCCATAAGGGCGCGGAGGATTTGGAGAATATGGGAGGTATGATGGAGGTTGAACACCAGTATATGGTGGAATTGGGGGACGAGAAGCACCAGGTCTTGGAATACCATTATTTGAAGAACCAGAAGGCACTGCAACTTGGGTCTGAATGTTTCCAGGACGTGGAGTACCTGTTTGTAACGAATTTGAAGTAGAAGGACGTGAAAGGGAAGGACGCGGTGGGATTTTCCCAGGTGGTCCAGACATGATGACAAGAGATCGCTGCAAGAATTTTGTGACAGGGCTATGTAACAGGTTTGTGTAAAAAACTTTGCCAGAAGAGCAATATGTATATTGCAAGAAGTTGTAGTATGGGACTTATTTTGTGGAAGTGAATTGATAGGATTCTGATTAGAAAGCTTGCTGCTTTTGAGATGGAGATGAGAGGAGGGGAAACAGGGGAAGAAGAACGCTAAGTCGAAACAGGTATCGGGCCTTGAACAAACAAGCACAGTATTGGATTGAGAGAACTTGAACTGTGAATATATATTTGTTCTCCAGATTTCTCCCAAACAAATATGTTTGTCGATAGGAAGGCCAACCATGAAAGGCATAAACACCATGTTTTGAAAGCTCCTGCAAAATGCCAATGCGTACGGTACAGAGAATCATTAAGAATTTTTTGAAGTTTCAATCAATTCATCTCTTGAAGTAACAAAATACAATCAAGCAAATTGTTGTTTCAAGAGGTGGTTCATGGTATTCAGCCTGACCACGTGACAAATCTTTGACACTGTTTTTTACTCTGTACGTTGCCAAACTGTATTGTGGCCACCTGCTTCTGCACTAGCAGTATCTTGAGAGAGCATAGTTGTTCTGTTGGCAAGGGGTTGGATAGATTTTTGGGACAAAGACTTGATGGTATTGATGATATATATCGACGGCATTGGGGATAGAAGCTTGCTGGTATTGACGATATCGATGGCAACACTGCTGAAATCCATTGAATTCATATAGAAAGAAGGGAGAACTTACGATCTGATTTAGATTTTGTTGAGACATGAGTGAGCCTGATTGGGGAGGACCTTGAGAATTTTGTTGTGTATTTATTCCAGCACTTGGAGGTCCGTTTGGTTGTCCTGAGGTAGACATGCTTATTGAGAGATTGAGAGTCCTTCTGCGTGTGATTGGAGCTACCTAGCACTGTAGGTACTTTCTACTCGGCTACCTACCTAACCAAGCTATCCGCACCGGTGAGTATTCCTTCCTTTTATAATCTATCACCTAGATAATACCGTAATACCGCAAGCACTGCCAATCACTTAGCATCTCCCCAAAACCAACGAAAAAATTCACTTCAAACTCTCAACTCTATGTTTAGGCAGGTACGTATAGTTGATTACGATTTATAGAGAAATTGGGGGATTATTAAAGAGGAATAATTAAAAGAATTTTTATTGTTCAAGGCTGAATGCCTGGCATCTTGTGGGAGGTTACTGAAGGTCAAGCTTCATTGAACAATTGGAGTGAAGTTTTGACACTAATGCAGCCGATCCGCAGAGCCGCATTATTAAGGCTGTAACCCCAGATAAAGCATCTCCAAGGTTCCAAGGTTAAGGTTCTGGAGATCAATCAATCTACATAATCATTCTCAAAGTACAAAATTCGAAGTACAAACTCATACATCCTCATACATCTTCATACATCTTCAAAGTACGCACCC